GTATATAAGGGTTAGACGTTACACGACGTACTTGTGTGTATATGGGAATTATCATGAGAAGGCTGTCGTTTTATTCTGAACTGTTCCCGATTTCAAACCGTCACAATATTCACTCACGTTTTCATCAATCGGCGGAATATCATATCACCCATTTTCGAGCATCCCGCAACCAAACATTGCCGATGTACATGGTACAATCTAATTAAGGTCTACATTTCACAACTCCTCCAAACCCCAGCCTACGTGCTGTTGGAGTATGTTATCACCCGTGTCTGTGACCCGGTTAGAAATGATTAGTGCACAATTTCTCCAGAACAATGAAGACGGGGGGTTGAGATTTGTCACACGAGTGTAATAACTACATGTATCTTTTGTATGCACAATTCGTAAATACCAAAGATCAGACCAACCAAATCTAGTTATTTAATTATGATAAACTAACAATATTTGCCCACTCATTAAACTTAAATCATTATACAATTATTTTCGCTTGAGAGTTGTACACATACATGTCCGTTGTGTTGTTTTCGCCACACTGAACTGATCATCCTAAACACACTGCACTGTTTAATACCTAGAGAGAGCCACAAAGATTATTTATCTGACCCTTGTATACAGCTTAATAGACAATATGTGAAATATGTCATGAGACAGGAGCGACTGAGGATAATTACCTGACCCTGGTATCACACAGCACAGGGGAAATATGGAAAATCTTGAAAGGTGTATTTGCATAAGCAAAACATGATACGGGTAGATAAGGCATCAATTATAACAAACATTGTTTTTTGGCACACGTGACCAAACATACAGTGAAAAGGGTATGTCAAGGTGTAGGAAACTACTTGGATGCACTGACAATTGATGTACATAACACATTAATTACAAACTAATACAGGATAATTAGCTGTCTTGTTGACCGTCTGTCTGATTGTAATCTCCTGTACAGTACGTGCAAAGCGTGCGTGAATGTACAAGGTTTACTGTTATATCACAATGACACGGACACTTACACACAGAAAAATCCATAGTTGGTTTTGATTTAAATAACATGGGAATTGAAATATATGTGCAATTGCGTATATAATAATCGGTTTTGTAGGAGTACATGCAATGCACTTCATATTGGTATAGTAGAACGTTATCTGCTCAGTACACTAAGTATATTTATGCTGGTTGATTGTCATATGATGTTTTTCGAAGTTGTATAAATCGCTGGCTGAACCAGTTTTGTTTTACGGTGCCTGTATATGGGACTTCCTAAGTGTTAAAGAAGTTGAGGTTGTGCAAAATAAGGCTGCCAGGATGTTTCTTGGTTTAACTAAATATGCTCCTGTTCTTGCAGGTAGAGGGGATATAGGCTGGTGCTCCGTTTTGGTTACTCAGAAAATAGAATGTTTCAGATATCTTTTCAGACTTAAATCTATGCATCAAGAGCGCCTGCCAAATATTATTCACCGATGGTCTGGGTGTTTTACCACATCTTGGGATAGTAAAATAATGAACCTTTTGAACCAGTATAATTGTACTCACTTACTGGAAATCAGATGGGGTGTTAAACGCTGTGTTAGGTATATTAAAAACGTTTTATTTCAAGATGACGCAGTTAATTGGTACACTTCGCTTTGGAATGATACGGGTAATGTGAATGGAAATAAGTTACGTACCTACAGAAAATATAAGTGTACACCTTCTGTTGATTTCTATGTTAAGAATATTTTGTATTGAGACCACCGCCGTATTTTAGCCAAGTTTAGATGTGGAGTTTTACTTTTGTTGTTGAGACAGGCAGATTTCCTCTGCCACTATCGGAGAGGTTATGTAAATATTGCAATTGTGATTTGGTGGAAGATGAATGTCATTTTTACCCCTCCATACATGTACATTGTATGTGTTTTTTAACTTAACAAAGTAAATGTACACACATCAACTGTAATAAAACCAGTGTCAAAGTGGTATTTATCAAAAAACTACATAAGTATATGCTAGTATACTTGCATGTATTCATGTTGATTTGTACAAGACAAGAGGCACAATGCATGTTGATCATAAATGAAATATTCATGTCAAAAAGAATTTTAAATGACAACATTATTATAACAGGAATATTTTACAAACTGGTGTTCACATGTATTTATCAAATGTACCTGCAATCCATTCACAGCGTAGCACCATAGTATACATTGTACATGTATGGAGAGTATTGCCATGGCCCGCCACGCATTGATGGCGTGATGTTCCCCTAAACACTCCTAATTAGTGCCATAAAACAATAAAATAGTTTTCGCAGACATCCGCGGATCATTTGCGAATTATTTGCAAATTATTCGCGAGTTATTTGCGGATTATTCGCAATTTTACAGAACACGATAACAAACTTTTGCATTGTAGTGTATACGAGATTAACAATACCTTAAGGATGGCCAATTGTGGAATAATTCCGAATACCCAGATGATGTGAGAGTGGTCTATGCAAGGTTAACATGAGATCATCTGACACCAAAATGATGTTTCTGCGAAAGGTATTGTTTGTTTGTTGTTTAAGGCCGCACTCAGCAATATTCCAGCTATATGACGGCAGTCTGTAAATAATCAAGTCTGGACCAGACAATCCAGTGATTGACATAATGGGCATCGATCATCGGGATACGATGACATGCATCAACTAAGCAAACCTCACCATCCGATCCCATTAATCAGTACCCTCCGACGACAAGCATAGTCATCTTTTACGGCAAACATGGGTTGCTGAAGCTCTATTCTACCCCGAACCTTCACGGGTCTCTGCGAGAGGTTTCAGACCATGAATACAGATCATATTCAGTCGGTAGACTCATGAAATAGAACATCTAAAAGAGAAGTGTGTGCATGTCTGTGTACAGGTCTTGCCATGCACCATAACATTACGCAATGGTTGCTGGTGTCTTATCAAAAGTGTTGTAAGTTCTGCAAGATAATTGTGGTCAGATGGGTCCTTCCACTTCAAGTGCCACCATTGACTGAAATGGTAGTTGGGGAAGTAAACGGTAAACTTGGATTGCATAGCAACTGACTACCATGACCTATCCTACATAAATGCAAGTGGAAACGTACGGACATAGCGTGTTTGTATTTGACTTTGCACTCAGCAATATTCCATGCATGACTGTGGTCTGAAAATAATCGAGTCTGGACCAGCCAATCCAGTGATTGACATCATGGGCATCGATCTATGCAAATTGGGTACGATGACATGCATCAACGAGTCATGTATCAACATGTCAGCGAATCTGACCACCCTATCCCGTTAGTCGCCTCTAACGATGAGCATCCGTTGCTGAAGACCAGCTCTAAACGGGATCTATGTAGAGGCCCTAGAGGGACAAAGTATTCTAAGCTGTTCGTGGTGGAGTAGTCTCCGTCGTCCACTTTGATGAATGTTGTTTTGAGCTTCATCCCTCACATAGTGCACTTGTTCATATTTAAATATTATATTCAATTAATTGTGAATGTCGAATGCGACTGTTTGATTTTAAGTGTAGTGTCAGGTAAATGATGCGTCGTAAAATCCTCAGAAATGGGTTGTTGCCGTCCGATCTCAGGACGCGGACTTGGGTGTTAGGCTGCTCTCTGTAACAGCTGCACCACCTCGATGTTGTGGTGGCTCTTCTGGGCTAGTCGGTTGATCTTGTAGTGCCAGGTCTTTTGGCCTTGAATGCAGCTACTTCCGTCTCAAATGGTTCAGCAGGATGAGTGTTGGGGGTTATTCAAACTTGTTGATTTTGTCTTCATGGATTGAAAGGCGTGCTGTACACGTAGCCACAACTCATCCAATCATTGTTACTTCAATTACCATAAGAAGATCTAACGCCTGAAATCAACTTTCTTTCACGGGTGGGTGTTGATATTGCTTGATGCATACTTAATCTCTTCAATTTTGCTCCGTCCTCATGTCAGGCTTACCTCACTTGTGAGCGGATGTCAAACCTCACTTAATTGTTATGTAACAATGATGACAATAAAAGTGAGTTGAGTTTTTACGCCACTTTGAACAGTATTTCAGTTTTATCAGGGCGTGTCAGCTTGATGTGGGAGGAAAGCCAGATGTGGTACTGGTCTTAAAGGTTTACCACTTTGGAGAAATCCACCAGTAGGGGAATGGTGCTGACAAACCTAGAAACAATCCGGCCAGAAACCCAGCCATAGACGACTTGGCAAATTGTGCCCCTGATGAGATTTAAACTGATTACAATCAATTAATGATCGATGACAGCTCCTGAAATTGATAAGAACATTCAGGCCTACATCTAGCACTAATATTTACTCTTATCTTCACAATCCTGTAACAGCACGTTCTAACTATATCATATTTGGTTTGTTGTTTAATGACCACTCATGTAGCAATATTCCAGCTACATGGTGGTCTGTAAATAAGTCTGGAGCAGACAATCCAGTGATTGATGTCATGAGCAACAATCCATACAGTTGTGGTATGATGACACGCAATATACCAAGTCACTTGTGTCTGATCACCCAAACCAAACGACCAGGAGAGGTTGTTGGCTACCTGCTGGGTATCAGGAATTCTAACCCAGACACCTTCCATCTTATGTCCACAAACTAACAACTTGTCTGCAAAGCATACATCTGTATAACAGTACACAAATGTGTTCGGGGCATGCCAATACTGTGCATAGAGTATTCAGTATCCTATCTGCAGGTCTTATACAAGAGGAACATAGGACAAAAATGGTCAACTACTCTTTACTGCTTGTGTAGACAAGTCTCAAACCTCTGTTTTGTTAACTGAAATCTTCTAAATACATTTTGGTTAGGCCACTGAGATACTATGACACAGTTGACCAATCAGTCATTGTCTTAGCCCCTTATGCAGAGTACCATCTTGTAACCTCTTTTGGTATGACACGTCCGGGAGTCGAATCCCAGACCTTCTGCTCTCCAGGCAGAGACTCTCACGACCATACCACTGAATTTATTGTATCACAACATCCCCAAATTCATACGATAGAATAAAGTTTATTGGTTCAAATTTCACACATACAATGAGAGTAACAACACAAGGTTACAAACTTGGGACAATGGAACAGTTCAGGCATGCTGACTACTCTCTATTATGACACAAAAACATACAAACTGATCACAATTTAATATATAATAACAATCATTCGCTTCAATAAAGAATTTACAACTTGCTCAGTCATCTTTAGCTTGAAAGTGATGTTTCAGACATCTTGCAAACTTATTCATCATCCAAAAATGTCAGCTTCCTAATAACTGGTTATTTGCTTACATACAATGATGCTTTAACACAAATCTATATAGTACTAAAACTGATTAAACACATCAGTGAAGCTAGCCAAGGTAACTGACATTATATATATATATATAATATAATTGCAAACAACAAATTGGGAACACCCAAAAAATATTCACAACAGGCTGCAACATCTAGATTTAAAAAAAAAAATTGAATTAAAAAACCCCCTAAATACCGATCGCATCAAACTGAGGGGGATGTAAATAATGAACTAACAGATTTCGGGGGGAAATTCAGTAAGGAACACCATCAAAAACAGGAAAGAAGTGAACCAACATCGTTTACTTAAAAAGAACAGCGTGGAACGAAAATGTAGGACAACTAGAATACATATCTAAATTACAGCTTGGTAACTTGAGTAAGATTTTCTTCTTTGTGTCACTTTGACATATACTGAGCGTCCAAATTGGATACAAAACATTAACAAGCATGACGTGTACCATGTGAAAAGCAGATACTATCACTTTCCCACTTCCCAGTGAAATTAGGTTGGCAACAACATTCAAATCTCCATGATCAAGATGGGGTTAATATTATTGCAACATGTACATATCCTGTACTCCATTACCCTTGGACAAGATGATTCAAAGACACAAACGGGTTGGACAAGAGTTGCCTTAGTGGTGTCACAAAAAATAATATCATTATCCAGTGATACAATCCAGCTGCAATCAAAGTGCAATATTACATGACAATAAGGGCATGCCAACATCTACTTTGAGGGTACTTGGAAAAGATACAGCATTTGAAAGCTGCTTTCTCAGACGAAGAATACATGAATCACAAGACTTGAGTAAATGTTACAAATAATTCAAAGGCACACTTCTCAATGGTGGTTTGTCTCAAAAGCACTTTCAGTCATATCACTCATCACTTCTCATAACCATGCTTATTTCTGTTTGAAATATGGCTTCTTTTTTGTATGTAAAAGAGTTATCTTTTGAAATGTACCTTCAAATATTGTTCCTGATAATATTTCTTCTGATGAATAGTTTCTTCTTCTTAGTTTTTTCTTCAATAAACTATTTTACTATTTTGAAAAGAGAAATAGAATAATAAAAAACAAAAACAAATAGGTGTGTTCCTTTCAAGAACCTCCACATTTAACATGAAAGATGTGATTCTGTCTCTTCCCTCACCGAAATTAGTTCCTCTCCTTCTTCTTATTTCCCTCCTGAAAACGAAGAGCAATAATTAGCTTGGTGCGGGGTTATCTGAAAACTAATTGCCATACAACATGGACTTCAGAGATAACTCCCTTGTGTCACGTTTCAACGCCGCACTCAGCAATATTCCAGCTATATGACCGCAGCCTGTAAATAATCGAGTCGGGACCAGACAATCCAGTGATGGACATCATGAGCATCGATTAACACAATTGAAATATGATGACATGCATCAACCAAGTCAGCAAACCTAACCACCCGATCCCGTTAGTCGCCTCTTACGGCAAGCATGGGTTGCTGAAGACCAATTCTACCCAGGATCTTCACGGGTCAGTGTTTGATTAAATGAGCTAGGTTAATATAACAATCAGCACTGTCACACCTTGTGACCATATGTTCCTCATTTTAGTTGTCAACAAACAGTGCGGAATATCGGCCCCGGAATCCCAACCGATCATAGTGAGTGAGTTGTGTCTTAACGCTGCTTTGAACAGTATTCCAGTGTATCACTGCATGTCCGCTTAATGTTGGCAGAAAGGCAGAAGTGGTGCAGGTCTCAGAAGTTTACAACTTCGCTGAAACCAATGAGCATGGGTAATGGTGCTGACAAACCAAGAAACATTATTGATTTGAACCCACAATCATAGGTTTCTGGTGTGCCTAAGGGACATGCACATGGTCCTGTGTACAGGTCACAAATCAGGTGAAGTTAAGCAATGTCAGTTGTGGCGAGTGGAAGGGTGGCACCTTGAGTCTCTAGGGCTTCAATCCTGCCCCATACTGAAGCAAATTGCAACACATGTGGTGCCCCTGTCGACATGTGACTGTATTCAAAATATGTCTATGTTCACCCAGCACTGAATGTGTACCCTGTAGAACTTTTAGTGCCCACAGGCTGCTGGGGTTGTCTGCTCCCCAGGGAGCTGAGAGTCAACATGTAAGTTCAGAGAATACACCATTAAATGCCATCACCATCAGGGACCTGCCCCTACCAGGGAGTTATGGGAAGAACACATCCTATCCCTGATATAAATGGACCACAAACTGTGCACCTCTCATTGTGGTTCAGTAGGACATGAAAGAAGGGTATGGTGGCTACTGATGTGGATTCCTGTAAATGTCTACTCACCTTTTTGGAGAGGATGATAAGGAGCCTGCGGAAAACCTGGATGAAGTCCAAGAACAGATCAACACTGTGCCTGCAATTATACAAGGATGAACATGACATATGACCAGTTGGATGTGTGATCATAACATTAACATCTTTCAGTTTGTAACAACATCGGGCAATACTCCTGCAACATGACTGGAATACCTGTAAAGTATAAGTCTTAAACCAGAAGAATATAGCAATTTATTTGAAATAGGAATTTAAAAAAACGACACTAGAATATGAAACAGAAACATTTTTGATTATCCAATGACTGAGTGAGTGAGTTTGGTTTTCGCCGCTTTTAGCAATATTCCAGCAATATCACGGCGGGGGACACCAGAAATGGTTTAGCCAATGAATTATATATCTCCATTGTATGACATACAATATTCTGTACTCCTTTGCTACCACATTTTCTTTTTGAATTAGAAAGACACACTGCTAAAATTAGCCATCCATATTAAACCCAAGAGTGAGAAAAATCCTGTGCTGAGTTTGTGACGTCACTTCAAATACAAAGTATTGATGGCTAATGGATTCAGGGTATTTATCATAATAAAATGGGGACAGAATACACTGGAGCAGTCGAAGATGGCATGCTATAGATAAACTTTTTTCTGATGAGGCAGTTCAGTAATGTCTGGAGCTTCATGGCCCACAGCAACACAACTGGTGAAGCCAGCGAAAAGTCTCAGCTTGTGTTCTTCATGCTAGCAGTACCAGATCAGCTAAAATGATTTGGTTAACTTGAAATATTTTAGCTAAGTCATTTTGGCCAGTTACTAATCAAGTCCAAACAGTGGTTGATAGCAGCCAAAATCTCGATGTGATTCGAACCACGGACCTCCTGATCTGAGGTGCCATGTGCACATGACAAAAGAGGTTAACCCTGTGAGCAAGGCGACCGAGTAAGGATGTCAGCTGTGGGGTGACTCCACACCCTACTACAGTATGAGTACATATCAGCAAGCAAGTCACAGAGTATGACCACATGATCCAATCTGGTCTCATCTTTCAACAACTTTACAAGCAAAGGTAACTAAGGGCCTAATTAGGGTGCCCATGGGAGTCGGTTCTGTTCTCACAAAGTTCCAATAATATCTTGCGATCAAGTCTTTTGATTTCAATCTTTGTGGTTTCCTTTAAAGAACATGGCAACTGACCAGATGTAGTCATCATCTCCACGGCGACGCTTCTCAATGATGAGCTGTGTGTCGTACAGGATGAAGGCACAGAAGATGGCCAGGCCAACGTACAGATTTATCTGAAGACAAACAGTAACATATATAGGCATGATAGGAATGTATACAAATACCGCTATTATCAATTGTTTTGTCTAACAGGTTACTTAAATTAATAATATTGCAAATAATATTTTGTAAATACCAACATGACATCTTGTAAATCCAACATGACATTTGTACATTCCTTAAGTGTTGACATGTATATTGCACAGCAGCTTCTCCCACCTACCTCGTACAGCAGGGTGGAGCCAAAGAAGATGTTAGCAAAACCCAGCATCAACATCCAGGACAGGGCAGACATCAGGAATCCTGGAAGACCACGGACATTCATAAATAACATCATTGGCCTGTACCGAAATAAATAAGACTGTTTATCAACAGGTGATTCCTCAGATGCTTCAGCCATCCAGGATACTGGGGGGCTTACCTCAAACAGCCTTACATATAAATATTGTTAACATAAGACTAAAAATCAAATGCATCTCAAAACATTATTATATTAGAAAGGCTTAGATGTGTATACTTTGGTTCCCATTTCACAAAGAGATTGCAGTGTGTGGAATGAGGGCCAAGAATTAACAGAGTCAAGGCATCCATTTCACTCAAAGAAGACCAAGGCCCTTTGAAATCTGAAGCACTGCTTCTACTTTTAACATCCAAAATTCATTTGAGAAAACAGTGTGCTCACCTCCCATGTAGAGGAATGTCCTGTCCCGGGCACTGTAGAGCGAGGCCAGGGAGAAACTGATGAACACGACGAACGTTCCCATCAGAGCAGTCGGTATGATGCTGAGGGGGAGAAAGATGGCATGAACATACAACTGCCAGAGTTCAACTTAATTACATAAAACATGCACCAGAGCAAACTATTATTGAAAAGGGCAATCTGACCAACCCTTACTTGTTCACACAACAATCTGTTCACACACTGAGTACATCTGACTTCTTTCACTGGACTACATAAGGTAGCAGCAGGTTTATGGGTATAGTCATGCATGCAGTTTTTTATTTAAAGTGATCCAAATAATCACATCCTCTTGAACTTAATACATTTAGCATGTTTAGTATGGGAACTGTCATGTCTTCATCTGCATAGGTCAACAAGTGTTTCAGGGCAGAACCCACTCTTACATCCAAATACCACTGTGGTGCCTGATACCAATGGCTTGACATGTATGTATGCTTGATAACTTTTCTGTCTGGCTGCATAAAGTTTTCCTCCACCTGCCCGACTGTCTGGCAGATAACTTTGAGACTACTTACGTATTCAGTTTTATCATAACTCCTCGTACATAATGTATGAATGCAGGCCGGTAACTTTGAAGATGGGCAGGCAACATGAGTCATCTGCCAAACATCTTATTTCGAACACTGCAGTCAGCAATATTCCAGCTACATGACATCAACAAAGTGGAATGTAGAATGGCCACAGGGATGGACTGTACATCATACATCATAGACAGAAGGAAGGCAGAAGTGCAGTAAGCCAATGACAATTACATTATCATGTCTAGTGCTCCAGCCACATGGCCAACTTACCTTGGCTCCAGAGCAATGACCATGTCCAGGAGAGGACCCAGGGACATACCTGACGGGAACAACATTCCTTTTATATAATACTTGAAATGTGAAGACACTCATTATATTTATCAGCATATGGCTTCCTCTCTGAACAGAGTAGGTTTTGTCTTAGCTTCACACAACATGAGTGGCTGAACATGATGAAGGGTGTGAATCACTATAGAAAGTGTACAAGAGCCTGACAATAATACAAATAGTGAGTCTCAGTCAGCAATATTGCAATATTTGGCCCAGAATTCCATTACTGGCATATCCAAAAGAGTAAGTGAGTAAGTTTGGCTTAACATGCTTAAAAGAGTATTTCAGTTATATCACAGCATGTCAGCTTAATGTAGAGGAATCCTGAAGTGATGCAGGTTTAAAACTTTGGTGAGATTCACGAGCATGGGTGTGGAGTGGATAACAATATAAAAAAGAACAAACAATGATTGGCAATCACAGAAGGGTTAATAGTCGATGTGTCAACACTGACAAAACAAATGGATCATCAGATCTAAAATTTCACAATGATTGAAAATAGATAAACTGAAGTTTAAATATTACCACTGCAGAAGGTAAAGCCCGAGAAAATGGCCAGCCTCTTGCCCTGGTTCCCTTTCTCATGTTTGGTGAAGGCCAGCCACAGCATCAGACCAATGGAGCCCAGCATTGTCATCAGGCCAGCCTGTCGGGGGAAACACAGCCATGAACAGACATCAGTCTTCCCAATCAAGCACGGAACACAAGGGTCCTTGTAAACCCCATGTTAAAAGTTAAAGATTCCGGGGCCCCAGGTGGTCTTTATTCAAATACTATAGCATCAAGTCTGAAGAACCACAGGACATCCCTTAGTTTTGAACATTTCAGACATATTGCATCAGATTCAGTTTAGTCCCCATTTCACAAATAATATAATGCTGGGACCTAATCATTCCAATCTTACCCTGTCGCTGGGCTCAGCATGGAAATTGTTTAATATCTATTCTGCTCCAACTACTTACGAAAAGAATGATAAGCAGAGTTCATCAGATATAATATCCAAAAGCGCAGAGCCTTTTGGGCTTGCCAATGACAGAAAGGTAGAGTCATTATCAGAAAGGGGGATCAGGGTGTCCCTTTAATGGGATGAAGCTTGATACTCGCAACACGTCACAAGTTCAATAATTATTTCTGATGTAAACACTGTGGAAAGAAGAGCATTTTGACTGAAGTTTGTGTTACAAGTACATGTTATGTTTATGATACAAGACTCGAATGAATTTTTGTTTGTTGTCTAACGCCACACTCAGCAATATTCCAGCTATATGACGGGCGGTCTTAAAATTACTGAGTCTGGACCAGACAATCCAGTGATTCATATCATCAGCATCGGTCTATGGATATGGATCAACCAAGTCAGCAAGCCTGACCACCCGATCCCGTTAGTCGCCTCTCATGGCAAGCGTAGTCGCCTTTTACAACATGCATGGGTTGCTGATGACCTATTCTAATCCGGACCTTCAGAGGTCTCCAATGAACTAGAAACCATGAACTAAAAAGCTGTATGCAAGTGATAATTCTTGCAGCATAAATATAATGGAAACATGACAAAGCTGTGATAGCACACTCTAGAATGAACACTGAATAAGCAAATGCATAAAGAATATACATACATATATAATACATATACATAATATACAGCCAAATTACAGGTTGTATAAAGTACCATATGCTGTATCTGGAATAATAACACTGGAAACTGCATACCTGCATGAGGCCTGTAAACAGGTGGACATAGGCTCCGACAGCCGCCGAGATCATCCCGATGGCCAGGCTACTGTAAACATTCTTGAGATGTGTCTGGACATAGCCCTCCCTGAAACACAGCACCATCAATATGAGCAACACACAAGTCAGGATGAAAACACACATCAGTGCATCCTGGATAGCATCATATACTACAACAACATTATCATCATGATACATGTATTACTCAGGGCTCAACTAAGGGACTTGATTTAACTTGCACCAGGTGCATGTTAACATGAAAACCATGTTGCACCAGAAGAAGAAAAACAGGTTGCGCTCTGTACTCATAAATTTATCAAAGTTGAAACATGCACAAAAACTTGAAGTACCACGTTTGGACTACATCAAGCACAAGAAGGCAAGACAATTACACATCACAGTGGCTTATTGACAAGCTTAGAGGTACTGAATGTGTTCAAAGGTCGATGTTGTGTGAACATATAAGGGTTAGACACACATTTGAAAACAATTGACATGCACTTAATGCATGTAGACATAAATATTAGAATGCCTTTTTTCAAAAATAGGTTGCACTGGTGCATATTTTAAATAGCTAAATCGAGCCCAGATTACAATATCATGAACATCAGTGTAGGAATTTAATTCAGTATTATTAGGGTTAGGGACACATGTTTTAGGGGGATTGAGTCATACATGTATATTATCAACCAATCATACTCACAATGTATAAAGATTTCTCCACAAGTTTGGCCATTTTTGCAAATACCGTATATCCCAAATATGTGTCCTTTTCCCCCTTAAAGTACCAATCCCCAAAAAGCTTAACAAGAAATATTTTCAACAACAAAAACTGTTTTGATCATGCCTCTCCATCATGTCCAAATGTAGTTAATTTTTTTCACAAACCTTTCCCTGGCCACTGTAACATAATTTTTATGACCCTTCTCTGATTCCTTCTTGGGACCCCATAAAAATGTTCAATCTTTACCGGTAATGTTTACCATTAGGGTCATGACAAGGACCCCTCACCTTTCCTACTTCATTGTTAACACTGTCATCACTTGACAGCAGCATCAGAAAGTAACTATCAATATTGCTGACTAAGGGCACTTGTCAGAAACACTCCTATGTATTTCCAATACTAGTTCTGATAAACACCGTCCACGCCTGAATGTCTGCAGGTGAAAGTGGGTGGAATCAACACAAGCAGACCCTAGTTCATTGTTTGATTACAGTAACTGGGAACTCGTAAATGAATATTGTCTGTTTGTGACAAGTTTTCACTGGCTATGCTGGTGTAAATAATGAGATAACTGCATCAATTAACCATGTTAACTGTATAAACCAAATTAACAGCCCAGAATGTCTTGTCACTTGATAATCTGATCATGCTGCTAATTAAATTCAGGTTAGCAAAATGTTTACTGTTGTAAAGAGGGTAGGTGACCCTTAAACATGTCAAAGACAATGTCACATTTCTGAGCAATCAAGACTATTGTTTTGACAAAGCATCCATGTTGATAACAAAGATGGGTATTTAGATCAACAATTTCCTGATGTTCAACAATAATCAAGCTAATGCAACCTGTTTTACCATCTTGCTGATGAATTTCCATTGCACATTATCTACTTGTAAACTCTGAGATGTTCTCTGGCATTAAAACTTACCATGTTTTTACATTTTTCATTACCTTTGTGACTTTTCATTGTGACTGAGCAAACATATTTTCAAGTTAATCATATTCATAAACACAATCCTGTTGATAAATACATGTTAATTAGGTGAAATATTCACTCACTTGCATGACTAGAAATGTCGATCCCTAGTCTAAACTGTTTCATGACATTGATATGAGTAGCCCTACCTTTGAACTTAAAATTCTAATCAGCAAATGATAACACAAGACTGAAGACTTAGAATGCCATGATTGTACAGGTTCCAAGAATTGTTACATGAGTTAGAGAAATCATTTGAGCTATATGAGAAGTGTTTTGTATTCCCCACAACTGCTATTACTATATTGCATTTTCACTATGAGGATCTCTACACATGTAATCCCTACCTAGCCAGTACATTTTTGTTCGGGCTTGTCATGCTTGAAGCAGTAGACATGGCAGAAAATATAACTTCTAATTGTTGTTATGAATAAATATATATATATACATCTTGTTTGTTTGTTGTTTAAAACTGCACTCAGCAATAATCCAGCTATATGACGACAGTCTGTAAATAATCGAGTAGGGACCAGACAAACCAATGATTGATATCATGAGCATCGATCCATGCAATTGGGATTGATGACATGCATGCATCAACCAAAGTCAGCGAGCCTGACCACCCGATCCCGTTAGTCGTCTCTTACGACAAGCATGGTCCCCTTTTATGGCAAGCATGGGTTGCTGAAGACCTATTTGACCCCGGATCTTCACAAGTCTATATTTTAAAGACAAATTTATCTTGCAGATCATGTTGTTTAAGGCACAGACTCGCATAATCTCAGATTTTCTAAATACGGATTTTATAAACAAGTACTTTCTAACACTTTTTAATAATCAGGCAGTTTTCTTCAGAAATTCCCCTTTGATTAGATTCAATCTTCCACATTTATTACTTTGGTGTTTTCTTATAGGAAAAAGGTTGTTAAATTGTCTTAATAAAATATAATAAAAAGGAGCCCAGATACTCTCTTCATTTTCATACTGCAGTATTCTATACTTGCCCACTATTATAGACTTACATGGGCCATTTTGAATATATTTGTTTCAGGGTCTGAATGACAGACTATTCAACTACTAAAACATGCACATCCAATGATATGGTCGAGTATTATGTTGCAGATTTTGTATTGCAGGATGTTGTAGTCACCCCACAATTTGCAAAAACATTGTCACGATCAATGAGCACTGTTCACCCGGATCAGCAGGGACAGCAGGCCACCAGTCACAGGTGAGGGTTTAACGTCATGTTCAAGATCATTGCACATCGATTCTATCTACTGCTAGCTCACTGAGATACCATGCTGAAATTTGACATGAATACCCAACTCAGACGCAGAATACTGACCCAGAGCCGATCAGTCCTTGCCCTGAATGCCAAGTGCCGAGGGCCAGGCAGGGTAACAAGAAGTAAAGTGTTTGAAATTGGCACTAGTCCTTAAGTCCTAGATAAAAAGCCCAATGGTAAAGGTATCCTAAGGACTAGTAGAAATGTGCCCTTTTTAAGGGTTTTGCTATATGATATCATTAAAAGGTCTAGTTGGCTAAAACTGTAGTTTCTATCACTGATTAGTACCATCTTTTAACATCTTTTGGTATGACACGTGGACGAGAATCAAACCCAGACCTTTTGCTTTCCGGGCAGATGCTCTATCCACTAAACCACACCAGTAACAGTTGTCATCAAATACACATTGTTTATTGGTCATGTTTGAGACACTGTGTCCTTTCTGTAACTATCTAGAAAGCATTTCCCATTTCCCCTTAGAGTGAATATTTTACAACATGTACAATGACATTTGCTCTTTTATCATGTTTATCTCAATTAGTTATTAAATCAGAGGAAAGCCTTATATTTACTAAACTCATGTCGTCAGAATCTAACAATGTTAATTTACTTGCTTGCACTGCACATGAGATGTTTAGCAGGTGCCAGCACAGTCAAGTCCCATTAATCTGACATGGTTGCATGTGATTATGTCAGATTAACGAGTATGTCGGATAAACGAAATTAAGTAGTATCAACATTCATGATCGAAAATCAGACAACTACACCTTGGGTAACGATACAAACACGTAATAAAATATAGAAATATTCATAATGTTATATTACATTGTTAGCGAAATATGTTTTCCAATCATGCAAGCTCTAAAGCTTAACACAAAACAACTGTTACCATGGTTACGGACTGTATAACTTATTAAAAATACTTTGCAAAAAGAAGAGTCTGGAATGGAAATTGCCAGTTTGAAACTGGAACCGCAAAGCTTAAGAAAGCTGCTTTCTTAGTGGCTAACTTTGACTTCCTGTTAATCATTTCATTGGTCGGCCATAGTTTGCAAAAGATTGCTCTGACATGACCTGTAATGGGATGCCCTCGGTGATAGCGAGAACGGTAACCTCCCAAAACCCCTACATCCCATTTCCCCTACAGCTTAAGACAACAAAGTTCACAGTCCATGGCACTGCTAATCCCTAGTCTATTACCTATTTCATACAATGGAACAACCCAAGAAACACGAACAGATTGAGATAAATATTAAATTACAATTACGATATTATTCAAATTTCATAATACATTATAATAAAATGTTCATTTTTCAAAATTCATAATACATTATAATAAAATGTTCATTTTTTAAATTCATAATACATTATAATAAAATGTTCATTTTTCAAAATTCATAATACATTATAATAAAATGTTCATTTTTCAAAATTCATAATACATTATAATAAAATGTTCATTTTTTAAATTCATAATACATTATAATAAAATGTTCATTTTTCAAAATTCATAATACATTATAACAAAATGTTCATTTTTCAAAATTCATAATACATTATAATAAATTTCATCTCAAATGTTCAATTCACTCTTTATTCGAGCCTGAGGAAATGGCCAACCGTATCTAGAAACTGCATTGGGGATTTCACCTCTCTATTCAACTCGTCTATTCAAGACGGTTCTCCACCTCTCTGTACACTCTCTTCCTGCCTCTTGGAGCTGCTCCAAAGTCGAGCTGTAAAACCTTAGCTCGTTCTGCCTGTTCCACCTTCCTGACTACCTCCACAAATCGGTAGATGTTGGGATGTCGGTGAGGGAGACCTCGGTTGAGTCGGTTATGAAAGCCTTCCAGGTTGTTGTTCGTCCTGGGACCTGTTGCACCGTGATGGTTCCACAGTGGTAGGGGGAATCGTGCTCCGTGGTCGACCCAGGTAGTGACGATGTAGTCGTTGAAGGCGACAGCTCTCGGTACATGTGGTGTGGTGTCCGTTGCGTCAACCCACGTGTCCTCTGTAGCATTCCTTATCACGGTTCCTACTGTCGTGAGTCTTCCTCTACATGTGGACTTGACACACTACCAGTGTACGCAAGTCAGTCTCTCGACGTTTTTAGTGTGAAGATAACCATCAAAAAGGACTTGGGGCTTTCCTCTCTGTGACATAACAAACTCAACATAGCGAAGCCCAGACATGTTGATGTCATGTTAGTCAGATTCAAGTATCTATATACTAAACCTAGCCATCTCAACTGTAAATCGTCCATCTCAGTGTAATAATTGTTTCTTCCTATTGTTATTTTTGTAATTTTTTAAAATTGTCTTCTCATCATATAGGCATCTTTCATTACACTTACATTATTTAAAAAAAGAAAAGAAATTCCCCTAGTCCCCTAAAGCTCTACCCCTTTCATTTCTACTACCTCTACTCCAGACCTTAATCTCTCCTTTAGGTGAGTTCATAATACCAGACAGGTAAATGCCGCGTGTTGTTTTAACTAATTGTAGGGGAACTGGGTTGTAGGGGAAATGGGATGTAGGGGTTTTGGGAGATAACCGCGAGAACTTGTATCTGATTTTAATGAGAATGAGGTAATCTAAGCATGTGATTAATCTTGTTTTCTTTAGTTAAAGCATTGTTTATTGATAAGCATGTTTATTTCTGCAGCCGTTGTAATATGCAGCTACCAGCCGACTCCCCCGCATCAAAACATGGGCTGTGTACTCGCGGGCAGATGACCATGGAGTACGCTGATCACTGTGTCAGATTAATGTGATTTCGGTAATTCAATGCAAATTAGGTGTGTCAGAGTGCAAGGCTCTCAGATTAACAGGTCTAAATAGCACTGATTTAATCGGCACTGATTAGTGTCGGATAAAGCTGATGGTCGGATTAACCAGTGTCGGATTAACGAGACTTGAATGTACTTTGTACAAGTTATTTTATTTTATCATTGTATTTAATACTTATCAATATTTTATTTTATTTTTATTTTCAGCATGTCTATACATGCATTTGGAAATAATGAAGTTTACCGTCAGTGTCTCGTAAGCCTAATAAGACTGGCGTAGACACTTTGTAAAAGTTTTCTTGTTTCTTTAGAAATAAGCTGCCAATATGAGAGCACAGTGTTTTGTGTGTTGTGGTGATTGGTCATCACTTGCTAGCTGGCAATACGGATGTCTCTTGCTTTCTCATGATGAAAAAGTTTCTAAAAAGGACATGGTAACAATGGAGCCATTTATCGAACACTAAGAATGTAAGAAATGAATACGTTTGATGTTGATAAATTTGTGACACAGACCTTAGAAAACTCATATCTCCTTGTGACATGTTTTCGAGCCCCTAAAGAATACGCAACCACACACTTAATGACGAAATCAAGATGGATGCCTCAGGCCCACTGAACATGCTGAAGACACCAAAGTGTACACAACTTGCCGCTGAAGTTGTATTAGGAATTAAGCTACATGAAGTAAGATTTATTCAATATGTAAAGAAAACATACCTCAAAACTTACTTTTTCACGTATCATGCTTATGCACATTTAATCAAACATACTTCCTGTCTGTAATGTCATGTGACTGATCATGTTGACAGTTGTGCATCTATTGTTAACTTGACTGTAATGGACGGGTTCAATATTAACGGTAACACGATGATGCCTGATCGACTCGTCTCCCCCCGACAAGGCTGTATCAAATAAAATTATCAAGAAATGGTCATTTGACCATCCAAGTGTCACCAGAAATAAATGTTCTCCAAGGTATGACTTAACAATGCTAAATTTTAGTGTATTGTGATTGTTAGATACGGAATGAGAAATATTTCTTATGAGACGAAATCAGTTGTAGGTAATAAGCATATTTCACTAGAACTGCAATTTGTGACATATGACCGGCTTCTGTAATCTTTCTAAAGTTAGGAATATTTCATCGTTTCCAAGAAAAGTCAATTTTGACCAATGAAATCTGTGCTCAGGTAATCTATGCTAATCACAGGAAATCGATAACGGAAAAGTATGTGAACTATCTCTTTTAGTGACTCTTGACGTTGAAAAGACAACAAAATAGAAATTAAAAATAAAGTATAAATGTTTGATTTGAGTACATCATGTACATGTATGGTGTAACCTCATCTAGTGAAAGAACAAGGCAACGCATGTAGGTATTTCTTCGTCTGTTGATTTTATTCATAATTTTAGACAGTAACCAGAAACTAAATTGATCAGAAATAACAAACAATCAACCAACATGGTAATAATTGTTACTGTTGTTTACTGGTTTACACAGCTAATATCTGGGCTCTGAAATATTTTGGATGGAGACTGAAGGAAATAGCCTATTCCTAAACATGCTAAAGGCTTGCCTGGACTGTCAAATTTTTTTAGATTTGCCAGTCCAGCTGTCTGGCTAAACTTATCTACACTGATTACCTAGATAATATTTTGACTTGCCCACGGGAATAACCTTAACAAAACCAGAAATCTGTACCAATGGTTGTTCATGTTCTAAAAAAACATTGGATTAAATATAGAAACACGTATGATGAAACGGACATCCCTACTTTCGCTCCTCAACGTCTTGCCAGTGCAGTGTGAAATAATCTCACATCGCCGGGTGCTAATACGTAATTACCAGCTGATTACCATAATATTGTAGCTATTTTATTATTGATACCAAAAATCGTTCAAAAGGAAGCAAGATCGTTCAAGTTGGCTACAAGTACAAGTTCACCAATATCTACCTACTTTTCCTTCCAGACTGTTCAGGAAACCAAGTGTGAATTTGTCTGACCTCGTCTGATTGTTCCACATTAATAGTTCAATTTGTAAATGACGTGCTATGATAAGATGTCCATTGCGAGCTATGATGTTTTATCTAATCAGCGAACCATTCCAAAAGTCAAAATGTAAAATAATACTTACAAATGGTCAAATTTGAAGAGATGAGATGGAAGAAATTCGTTCCTGGTCGCCATTTTTGCTTGTTTGATCAACTCCCTCTAGCGGGGCTTCATATAATAGAGAGTTATTTCCCCCTGAGGGTGTGTCACAGGTCTAACGTGTCAGGAGGCCATTTGATAAATAATGGACGTTGACGCATTTACTTCTTGCATCAGAACAGGTGATACGTATGGCAGAGTCCTGTTGTATAATAGCGAACAATCTGGATTTAAAATCAATCCGAAATATATAATGAATATGTTGTTTCGACTGAGGTCAGTTTCAGGCTCACCAACATTACTGTAAGGAAGATAGAGATTTTAAGTGTCTTGCTATCACCAAGGAGAAAGTCTATACTACATATAATATCAAATAGTCCCTGCTATAACTTTACAAGAAACTTCAGCAATATATCTTTAAGGATGTTTTCCCCCAAGTTCCTATGTATTGAAGAAGTAAACAACATCTTCCGTTCAGCTCTTAAAAAATGGATTTTATTTGAAAAACAATGCGTCGGGTTTACACAAATCTGATTATAATCAGATCTTAGTGTTCGCTACCGCCACATCTAATGTGATTGGCATTATATGGAAACAAATGTTTCAATTCAAGAAAACGCATTTCTTTTATGACATACCTTTTAATAACAGCCAGCGTGGTGTGCACTAATCACGCTGAAATCCCGGGTTCGATTCTAACATCGATTCAATGTGTGGAGCCTAGTTTTTATCTCCCCACTGTGGTTACAATATTGCGAAAAGCGGCATAAATCACACTCACTCACTCACTCACTCACTCACTCACTCACTCACTCACTCACTCACTCACTCATAAAGATAATAATTAACCAACTGTTTTGTTGGTATTTCCAACACCAGTCAGCGACAGGGTCATTGTTTTAGTCACACTGTGTCGTTTATTTAAGTATAAATGAGAAGAAGACAAAACATCAAATCGGGTTAAATTGCGAACGATAACACACATATACCGAAAAACGCCATCAGTATTTTTGTGTTTCAAAATCCATAGGTGTATTTATTTTCAATATTGTCATTTAACACACAAATCAAATGTGACCGTAACTAAAACCATATACACATGATTTCTGTATATATTTGCAGAACAAACAAAATGAAGTTTGACACAAAACGGATATGTTAGAAATAAGTCAACACAGACATTATAATCATATTGAACATCAACAGAATGACTGGTGAGCTCAATTTACTTTCAACTGAAGCGCAGGTAAAGGTTCCTGTCCAATGGAGAGGTCATCATAGCGATGATGTTTTTTTGTAATATGTTTTTTTAACGCTGCATTCAGCAATATTCCATTTATATGACGGCGGTCTGTAAATATGCGAATCTGAACCAGACAATCCAGTGATTGAATTCGTGAGCATCTATCTACACAATTTGGGATGCGATGACATGCATCAACCAAGTCAGCGAGCCAGACCACCCGATCCCGTTAGACGCCTCCTATGACATGAATGAGTTGCTGCCACCCGGATCTCCCCTGCTTACAAGGATAAGATGCATTACTGAGCGATGCGTACGTAAAATCTTAGTATTCGTGTTTATATTTATTTTGATAAATATTTTATTTGGCACCTTTAGAAGTGATTTAAAAATACATGTTTGACATAACTGAGAACAGTATTAACATGATTAATGTAATTTTATGTGTTAAATTGGTCGTGTTTGACGTAAACTAAACAGAAACAAAACTAATTCCAATCGTTATTTACACACGTGTATTGTATTGCTTTCCTTGGTTATCGACTTCTTGGAACTTCACCCCTCCTACGTGATTCAGTTCATTGTAGAATTTGGTTATTTGTAATCATCTAATATTTACATGAAAAAATAGGGCATATATAAGTCGGGGTCTTTAAAGTCCACATTGGTATGCAGTAGTATTTGACAAAATATAAATTGATTTAAGTTTTCACCAGGTCGGTAGTGCTATCGTCCACTGATTTGCTTGGTGGCGATAGGTCGCTGTGTTATAGCTGGAATATTGCTGGCTGCAGCGTGACTGTAACATCAGCTCCCACACATTAATTGGTTCTGTCTCTGAAATAATGCGACGTTAAGCCCAGCACGTATTAGATTATTGTGCTGATGTACTACAATGAGGGTTCTTTATTTCTTAAAACCCATGAAATGCACGTGCAGCAGACACTCTTATGATATCATGATGTTTCTGTTTGTTTGGATGTTGTTTGGTACCACACTCAGCAATATTCACGCGATATGATCGCTGTCTGTAAATAATCGAGTCGGAACATGATTTATTGTTCACAGTACATTTATTGGGATATAATGTAAACCACGTGATTAAATGGCGGTCTTCCATTGGACGAGCGTCTTATCATGGACAACCTATATTGCCGTTGAACATGTTCATCACACATGCTGTCATATGGTGTCATACGCCGCAGGGTCAGGAAGAACATGTGGCATCTGTTGACAGTGGTTACTAGTTGTAGTTTGTTATATTGAATCTCATTTAAACAGGTCTTTTCCCCGGCAGAGGTATCGCAGCCGAGCCTGACCACACGATCCATTTAATCGCCACTTACGACAAGCATATAGTCTGCCTGGGACCTATTCGAAACCAAAATCCCAACGGGGTAACCAAGTCACCTTATGTGTCACATTATGCCATAAAATGAGTGAGTGATTGAGCTTTTAGCAATATACTGGTCAGCAATATCACTGCAGGGGACACCAGAAAATAGCTTCACACCATGTCGTGAATCGAACCTGGGTCGTCGGCTTAACGAGCGCGCTTTAACCATTGGCTACCAGACCGCCCCTCAATTTGCCATAAAAACAATCATAGATCAATGTTGGACCAATGTCCATTATAATCTCACGAAACTTACACTGGTGTTAATTGCATACCAACTATGCCTTATGTAATCCCAACTGATGTATGTGTAATGATACAAAATAAATTATAACATGTGGTCATAATTAAAGATTATATAAGGTCTTGATATGCGAGGGGGGCACGGGTGGCCCAGTCGTCTAAGGCGCCGCGATTCGCTGTGCAGAGTTGCGTCCCATGGGCGCGCCAGAAACCTATGACTGTTGGTTCGAATCCCGGTTCGCCCCGATTATGGTTCTAGGTTTGTCAGCACCATACCCGTACTCGTGCATCTAAGACCTGCATCACTTCGGGCTTTCCTACCACATTAAGCTGACACGCCGCGATATAAATGTAATACTGTTAAAAGCGGCGTTAAACCCAACAATTTCACTCACTCACTTGATGTGCGAAAACCACAGAAATACTTAGTTCTGATTACATGTAATGAAATTGTATGCTTTTCACTATCAAACACCACTCTCTGTGTGGGGTGGTCCAGTTGTCTATGGCGCTGGAAATGGCTTGCAGAATTGTCTCCCTTAGAAGTGCCAGAAACCTATTACCGTGAGTTCGAAATAGGAGATTAACCAATGTAGAAAATTCGAACTTGGGTTTGGTCTCGAATCATATATTTACAGGTATCGAATCGACGTTCGAAACCTCAACATTGTAAACACACTAGGTTTATCTCTAAGTCGATACAGCTGGCGAACCAATCAGAATGCAGGATTTTAACATGTCATAGTAGAATCCCGTTTGGCCCCGATTTTGTGTCTAGGTTTGTCAGCACCATACCTGTGCTCGTAGGTTTCACCACCTCTGTGGGAATTCTGGTTCTCTAGCACTTATAATATAAGTACCCAGCAACCTATGCTTACCTATGCTTAGGCGGCTAAATGGATCAGATGGTCGGGCAAGTCTAGTATACTGCAGATTCAGTCAGAAAGTCTCTTGGCTCCTTTTCATTATATTCTTTAAAGGAAAATTAATCTTTTTAACGTTCATTTTAGGGACTGAATGTAAATCTTTACCTGCATTAAGATTGAAGGTAATATATATAAACACCAGAGTCAATTTGAAACATGGTTTCAGTAACAGTGTGATGCAAAGACATAACGAAACACTCATGATTTCATATTTCGCTATCTAATCTTTACATGTATAGGGATAAACACATTGCAGCTGGGTAAACATTGTAGGTAAACTGGTCGTCAATATGTTTATAGCAGGATATATCGCACACAGATAGCACGTGGTAATAGAGGACAATCTACACATGAGTAAACATATGGAGTTCTCACCCTGCGACCTTTATCGTGTCGATCTACAGCCGCTGTATAACGTACGTTGTGTTATAGGTTTTACAGGGGATATGTTTTACAGTTGAAAATGTTTATATATACTGAAAAAAGGTTAGGAATCATGAATATTTTTGGGATACTTTTGTGTAGTGAAAACTGAGTTTCTTTAAATGTTTACCGATTATATTGATGAAAAATCTTGGTTTTTGTTGAAAAATGTGAAATCATATGTATTTTGTGTTTTACAGAAGTTACATTGCAATTGGTTATAGTGTTCAAGAAGCTTGTCTCGTCAATTTTGCAGTTAAAGGGAGCTTTATACAGGCCTAGACGTTGTTATAACACTTGTAGCCTTGTGACAAACTGAGGCATTGGAGCAATCATTAACATCTAGACTGGCAATACATTATACCGTTTTCATCCATAGATTCACAGACGCACAACGTTGGTTTTGAATGATTTGAATCAAAGCCGTTAGTACTGCCGATTGATAGAGGATTATGTACATTTACATTAAACAATCATGTGTTGCATTAAGTTAAGGTTCCTGTTCTGTGTTCCAGATCTCCATCATTTGTGATGTCGAATAAATATATCTTAAAGCAGTACAACACCTACTCATTTATGATGGAGATCTTTGGACATTTTGAAAGTCTTTGCTCTGAATATGCAGTATCTTGAATACTCAGGTTGGGTCTTTAACAGGTTTTCACCCAAGTTATTCAATGCCCTGGCTTGATTCTCGTAAGTCTTTGGAAGCGCTTCCATCGTGTTTACTGTCATCTGAAACACGTTGGTGTCTCCATCATTTGTGATGTCGAATAAAGATATCTCAAAACAGTATAACACCTATATAGAATACTAAACGAGCTTCCGTGTAATACCAATTTTATGAAACGAGTGAATAGTTGTGGTATCTGACTCGCTTTCGCTCGTCAGATACCACAACTATTCACGAGTTTCATAAAATTGGTTTTACACGGGAGCGAGTTTAGTATTTTATTTATTACTTGCCATTTATAACGTTTTTAGAATTATCCTCTCGAGTGTGAATAGGCTGACACCTACACGATCCACGGCATAATCCAATTGAGTTAGATTGAGTTGAGTAATACTTCAAACACGTCAAAAGTTGAAACGTATGAATGTAATACCATACAACGGTCCACCTTTAGAATTCAGGCGTCCGTTCCACAAAATTATCGTAGCGTTAAGGTTATCGCAACTCACATACTTTACTTAGACCAACGACTGTCGTTGCGCTACAGTAGGATCGCCTTGTGGAACGGGGCCTTGCACATCAAAGTTTACAATCACGTCACAATACCCGATGACGTAATTTGTGGAATTTTGTTGCAAGATCCTTCGGCGAAACAATGCCATGTGACGTCAGCCTAGCAACAAGGTTGCTGGGGTCATCGAGTGTGCATAAGCTCCTCTCAGTGATCTATTATCTCGACACACAATGTCGTTGAATAAGCCAAGGTATGTTGAGAGCTTTCAATATTTGTTCGTGAAACGTGTTCCGAGAGTACATAAGCACGCGTTTTGGTATTACACAATGTGTAATACAGCTGTATGTTTATTAAACGGGTGATCTTTTCACGGGCAAGTAATAAATATAGAATACTAAACGAGCTCCCGTGTAATACCAATTTTATGAAACGAGGGAATAGTTCTGGTATCTGACGAGCGAAAGCGAGTCAGATACCACAACTATTCACGAGTTTCATAAAATTGGTTTTACACGAGAGCGAGTTTAGTATTTTATTTATTACTTGTCATTAATAATGTTTTTAGAATTATACTGTTGAGTGTAAATAGGCTGTCACCTACACGATCCATGGCATAATCCTATTGAGTTTAACACAATAATACTTCAAACACGTCAAAAGTTGAAACGTATGAATTTAATATCATACAATGGTCCACCTTTAGAATTCAGGCGTTCGTCCCACAAAATTATCGTAGTGCTAAGGCTATCACAACTCATATAATTTAACTTAGACTAACGACTGTCGTTGCGCTAGAGTACGATCGCCTTGTGGAACGGGGCCTTGCACCTTAAAGTTTACAATCACGTCACAATACCCGATGACGTAATTTGTTGAATTTTGTTGCAAGTTCCATCGGCGAAACAATGCCATGTGACGTCAGCCTAGCAACAAGGTTGCTGGGGTCATCGAGTGTGCATAAGCTCCTCCCAGTGATCTATCATCTCCACACACAATGTCGTTGAATACGCCAAGGGATGTTGAGAGCTTTCAATATTTGTTCGTGAAACGTGTTCCGAGAGTACATAAGCACGCGTTTTGGTATTACACAAAGTGTAATAAAGCTGTATGTTTATTAAACGGGTGATCTCTTCACGGGCAAGTAATAAACATATTTATCATTTAACTTAAGCATTTAATCCATGACATAAGCTTATGACATAAAAACATGTATGTCATACCCCAATGACATAAGTATGCAAATAAGATATGCAAATTAGATAACCGGAAGAGGGAGCGGTTTGATTTGAAACTATATATTATAAGTAGAGTTACACCAGAGATATAATCAGATTACACAGAATCGTTGTTGTTACCGTTATTAAAGTTTCAATTATTCTGCAAGTCTGTTCAAGTATTTTGTTTAAAATAATCCGAGGAATTTTTTTCTCAGCGAATTCTTAATTTTGGTTTACATGGCTATGGAAAACATGTATCACTACGCACGATCTATACGTAAGATTTCGACAAGTTGCTGATGTTAATGTTTAATGCAATTATTCCTTAATTTGGAAGCAAAAATTTGAAAATGATAAATAGAATTCATCACTCGTGTTTTTTAATATGGGAAATATCAACCTCGTCCCGTTAATCGGTATTTGCCTCGCTAAAGTAGCAGTGCTTTCAGTTTTCATTTTTTTTCACTTTCCATAACGTTTTGTGTGTTCGTAACCCATTTCGATAAAATGGTGACTATTTGCTGTTTGAAACGAATGACCACACCGAGCCTGGTGTTGAATAAGATATCATATATAACATACCAGACCGCCAGGCAGAGTTGTAGGTGTATATGAATTTAATTAACACTGCCATTACGTAAATGAGACCCACTGGTGCATTCCCTAGACCCTACAATAGAAAGAAATTTAGCTTCATTGAAAAATGGTTTTCCTAGACGTCTGTGTCAAACCTGCAAAACATAATGGCCGAATTACATATTTTGTGTTTGTATGAAAACCAGCCGGGAATAAACCATCTGATATTGTATCAGTAACTTTTGGGTGAGGATACAATTTTAACTTCATTCCAGCAATGTCACCATGGAGTTCTCAGAATACCACAAGTGGTCCTTGGGGACGCTTCAACCACAAGGATACGCCTCTGCCTCTGTAACATAACGGCTACTGCCTGAAATCAAGAGTGTTGCCGAGTTGCTGCCTCTTTTTATGAAAACTGTTTTACCACAGTAAAAGTATGTGCCCCCTTCCTACAGTAGACTCAGAGATGAGGTGAGGTGAGGTGAGGTGAGGTGAGGTGAGGTGAAATGGGGTTTAACGTCACGTTCAAGATGATTGCTCTTACATGTTGCTGCTTGTACTAGTCCAGACTAATGCCCCACTCAGATACAGTATACGACATCGAGCCAACCAGTCCTTGCCGAGTGCCAGACAGGGTAACAACAAGTACCATCTTTTAATGTATGTTGGTATCGAACCTCTGACCTTCCGCTCGCCGGGCGGACACTCTACCGTGAGACCATGGAGGGATGACAAAGTTCACACAATTTAATGGATAACAAGTTCTTTAATACACAACAATGGTGTAAGGCCCTGTACTGAAACATGCCATATTAGTACATTGAAGAACTTGTTATCCATAAAATGGGTCTACTTTAGAATGAGGAACGTATATACTCTAGGGAGAATTATAGTTTCTTCTTTCTCCTAAAGTAATTAATACTTACAACATTCTTATTATTTACACAGTGACTGATGATGTGATGTTTTATCTTTGGTGAAAATACATCACATAATTACTAAGTGGACTGACAAACCATTATCTCACATTCAAATCTATCCTGTAGCAATGTCACTAGCCATCAATATAAGGTTATGTATGTATGTTTGTTGTTTAACTTGCTCTCAGCAACATCCCAGCAATATCCCAGCTGCCTGTAAATAATTGGGTCTGAACCAGACAATCCAATGATTGATATTGTGAGCAATTATCCATTCTGTTGAGGGACCTACAATCCATCAAGTCACCAGTCCGACCATACGATTTTGGTCACTTCTTAGGCCACACTTTTTAAATTTTATGTTTCACTGATTTATTCCAGCTTTTCTACTTTGTTGTAAAAGAGGGTCTATATTACAAGCAGGAGACATATAATAAAAATAAATATTTTTATGTTTAAAATTTATTTCTTTTCCGGATGTTTTTTCAGTAGGGGCATTGGCCCCCCTGAAATGAAGAAAAAAAAGAAATGTGTGATAGGTTTCTGGGGACTTACTCCAACCAGATTCCCAATGGGTGATAGTTGGATGAATCTTGATTGAATGAGGTGAGGTGAGGTGAAATTGGGTTTAACGCTGCGTCCAAGATTATTGCACTTATATAGCGACGTGCATGCACATGTGTGTGTGTGTGGCTGCTTGTACTAGTCCGGACTGATGCCTATTTATAGTGCTAGCTCACTGAGATACCATGCCGCAGTTTAACATGAATACCCCACTCAGACACAGTATACTGATTCCGAGCCGACCAGTCCTTGTTTTAGCCCCTTAATGCCGAGCGCCAGACAGGGTAACAACAAGTACCATCTTTTAACTTCTTTTGGTATCACGTGGCCGGGGATCGAACCCCGGACCTTCCACTCTCCGGGCGGATGCTCTACCTCTAGACCACGGAGGCGGTCTTGATTCAATGAACAATCCAATCAACAAAAAACTAAAATCAAAATTCAAGTGACTTTATTCATTCACATCTATTAGGTTTTATTTTCTTGATATAAAATTGCATAGTGCAGATCGGCGGTCTGTAAAAATACCTTATGTCTACAATCTCAAATGTCAGAATGTATAGGTCGTATAATTAGTTATCTCCATAGTTTTAATTAACACTTACCGGTACACCATTGCATCAAAACATAAATATCAAGTCAATCATTATTGTAAATAACAGTGTGGCAACATCATTTGAGATCACATATTTTAACAAACAAGAAATTATGCCAAATCACCTTAGTGTACATAATTTAGCAATTACTTTTAAGAGAATAATGTATTCAAAACAACAAAAAATGATGAAAAATTACATAACATTAAAAATATCACATTGTTACTGTAATTCTTTTTCAAAAGGTTCATTTATAATTTTGAGAAAAGAAATCTTATAGAGAAATTATTTATGAAATTGAATAAATATTCTCCCTGAACATGTGATCTTACAACTGAAGTCTGACACAGACGTCTGGAGTATATGTTTCAACTCTAACCAACAGAGATAAATGTTGACATAAACTGAATAACACAACACAAGAGACAGACAGACACTTGGAATCCCGCCAAACTGCATAAAACCTACTTTATGTACAAATAATTTAAAATATTCCTAATCATTTCATAGCAATTATTTCTATGTACAATTCTTATATACAATTCAATATTTCACTGAACATAAAGTCATGCAACACATACTTCATGCTCACAACATGCCAATATTTTCAGACACCAGAATCTGCTTGAATCAATTCGTGAAAACTCATAATACAAAATAAAATAATAAAAATTATTCTCAGTGAAAGGAAGTCAAAGAAAAGGTAATTTCATGTTATAAGGAAGGATACCAACCCTTCCAATTATTTTGTATGCTACACATCTTCACAAGCTGACAAGACCCATTGTCATTAAAAGAAGAAGACCCATGTCATAACGATAACAATAAATACTGTTGAATAGTATATAAAATTTCTCTAAAACCTAAAACAGAACATTTTTTGTATGATTTGTAATAACCGAAGGGTCAGTGACTTAAATTAGACAGGGTAGAGATGTGATAACATTTCACTTACCGTACTGAACATATTTAGCACTCCACTATAAAAAGCAAACCTTTTTGAAACAGAAAAGATGCTATTATGAAGTGATTAGAGATTTCTATTCACTCTTGTGTTTATCATTTTGCTATTGTACTGATGTTGTTAGAATGTTAACTTGTAAAACAAATGATCCTCTTTAATAAGCACCACCTTTGAAACTGCATCCTTGGTTTAATGCAACGGCTACCGTGAACTGCATGTGCATCTATTTTCGTAATCACTGCATCATCTGGTGAAAGAAATGCCTGAAATCTTTGGTTCTCATTGTGCAGATACAAACCCTTATTTCTCAACCTCTGACAAAAATCATTTGCTACAAAATCAAAATTCAAAATGACAGTTGCAGAGGAACAGATTGGGGAAGTGCAGACTAATCCACTGAGGTTAAAATGACCTGATAACAAAATCTAAAATAACTTAATAGCACCAAACAACGACCTTCTCATAACTCATAGCACTTCAGATAGCCTTTGAAATTGACACCATAAGAAAACCGATATAATTTTGATTTTATGGTCACAAATTAACAATGCAAAAAATAGTAACGGTTGAGGGGATTAATTCCCAGTTGGTGACCAGGTGTATGAATAAAGAAAAGTTCACAAGATACAAGAAGAGAATTCTTCCAGAAAAGGTATGCTGATGATCACATAGAATAAATATTGACTGATGGCATTTCTGTGACCTTATTTTTCATAATCTTTTCAAAGACAAGAATCACAAGTCTAAAGCACTAAAGAACATAAACATGTAGCTTTCATCTCAAAGGTAAACATAATAATAATTATCCCTGACATATCACCATAATGTCAATATGTTGTTTCCCTGAAGCTGTTTTTCAGCAATATAACCTGTTCCCATTGAAAAATCAAATCAAATCAGTTAACCAAAAATTTGAAAGGCATCAAAATCAGCACAAAGTCTAAATTAAATGAATTCAGTAATTATTCAAACATAAATGCCACATCGGTATTTTGGCACATGGAAGTTGTGACAAGTAGTGTGAACAGGCATACAGTTACACTTGGTGCACAATGAACATTTCCTTCATGTCGAAGAAATCCTAAATCATCTGTCTTGTCATGGAACATGATTAGACCATTCTTGTACGACGTTTATTTGATGTGGCAGTAACTTCAGAATATCAATCTTCAATCAAATTTTCAAATTATCCCTATTTCCCACAATCAGCGACTGAGACAAGACTGAGGTAAGATGGAAGATAATTAAATGAAATTAAACTTGGAGATCGTGTAATTATGCTAATCAACTTCTGAAAACTGTCATCTGCAGAATCACACATGAAAGACAAGGGCAACACACAAGTCTATGTTGATTATTTCAATCTGGAATAATTTGAGTCCACTTCCTCATATATATTTGTCTGTGGTCTTGAGACTAATGGCTAGAACAGTTTACAGAATTCCACTTCGTCTAAAGGAAGTTATAGCTCCGAGGACCCCTGCTGATGCACCCTGGGTAAGCAGTTTCCTTGTAACATGTTTGTCACTGTTAGGTGATGTTGCTGCTGTTGCTCCTTCTGTTGTTGTCGTGGTGATGCCCCCACTGCTGGTCGGTGAGGATACAGTTGCCGTGTCGGATGATGAGGAATCTGAATCCTCGCTCTTCCCACCACCAAGGAAGCCATAGATAGAAAACCCTGTGTGTTTCAATTTGTCCAAGAATCCACCATCGGTCGGGGTTGATGCCAGACTCGAGGATGTCGTGGTTCCTTCATGCTGGGTTGATGGTGCCAAAGTTGTTGCCACTTCCAAAGCTGATTTTGCAGGTGAGTATGGTGTCTCGGTAACAATAGACTGCACACGGGATGGGAAGGAATGGTTGTAGGTCATGCCTGGCTTGCGCTCAACTGGCTTGGCGAGATCACGCTCGTGCAAGATGGCTGCCAGCCCAAGGGACATGCTATAGGTAGAAGTGTTGCTTCCCATTGAAGCCAATCTTCCTTTTGTTGCCGACATCACTGGAGTACTCGTTGATGGCCTCATGCTGGCTTGGCTGAAGGTGCTCTCAGTGCTAGAATCAAGTAATATTAAAGATCATATTTCAAGGCAAGTCAAGTAATATTTAAGATTATAATTCAAGGCGGGTCACGTAATATTGAAAATTATATTTCGAGGCAAGAAAAGATTCGCCCCCGTACATTGTTGTGAGACTGTTATTTTTGAGTGAAGAGATAAAAGGTTGGCAACAATTTGATCATTGAAAATAAAAAATAAAACCTGATTTCACAAAGTGAGTGAGTGAGTTTGGTTTAATGCTGGCTTGAACAGTATTCCTCCAGTTATATCACAGCATGTTTAGTTTAATGTTGGAGGAACCCCTGATGTGATGCAGGTCTTAGATGTTTACCACCTTTGTGAAACCCGCAAGCACCAGTATGGTGCTGACAAACCTAGAAACATAATCAGGGTGAACCGGGATTCAAACCCATGATCATAGATTTCTATCCCGCACAAGGGATGCAACTCTGCACAGCAAATCATAGCGCCAAAGACAACTGGGCCAACCGTGCCTCCGATTCCACAAAGAATATTTTCTCTGATCCCAAGAGTCTCCAGCAGCCTGTTCTGTGGTGAAATGTCTGTATATTTCTCCAGCTCACCTGGATGTTGGGGCCAGCATGAAGTAATCGTTGGGATTCTTCACCATGGAGTCGGTCAGTGTGAAGATGGTGGAGCTCTCCTCAAAGCGTCTGCTCGGACATTCAGAGATATCATCTGAAATTAACGATAAGCTCAACCTTAGCAGTGCAGACATGAATGACGCTTCACAGTACTTTGCAGCTTTCCCCAAAGTGATTGTAGAGCTACGACATACATGTTCATCAATACAATGTTATGCCATGTGTAGCACTAAGATCACTCTGTGGAAAGGGGCTGGTTCTACAGAAGGGGCCTGTTCTACGATGACCTTTACTCTATGTTAGAATATGGGAGTTATGATTTGAGGAATGGGAATTCTAGTCATTCTTGTTCCCATATATATAACACAATCACATTTCTGTTTATATAACTTAACTTATTTTAATTGACTATGGAAAGATCAGAACAATTTCTCTTCAGCATTTTTCAAATAAAAAGCTTAAATGGGCTTAAATTGGGGTCTATCTAAAGGGTAATTTGATGAGGCTTAAGAGCTCCAGCTAACTGATAAATCTTCTACTATTATGTGAGTATAGCAATAGTTGTAATCTGCAAACGTACCATCTTCCTCAAAGTCGCTGAGGGTGTACACTTCTTCCTGCAGGTCCAGGTTCCGCTCCCCCTTGATCTGCACCCCGGGGCGCTCCTCGAAGATGCCCCCAAGGTTGGGTGTCGCCAGCTGCTGCCACTGCCGCAGAGTCGCAGAACCTGGAACATACATTAGCATGAGTTGAGTGAATGTTGTTTTATGCTAAGTTTTGTCTTGGACCCAACAAAAGTATTTAGTTATTCGGCAAAGATAGCATATTGTTAAGTGGCAACCACACAAGTTTTCATGAAATATCAATACCCATTGATTAACACAAAAAAAATCCTTATCATAATCCTCAATGATTCTCATACAACTTTTGTCATAATGGGGGAGGCAAGAAATACTTGTTTCCTTCCATGACTTTGGGTAAGAATGTTCAGTTTTTTTAAAACAGAAATAATTTACCTTCATATCTTGAAGGACATAAAACAACCTGCTGATGAAAATGTTTCATATAACATTCTGCAACCAATAAGAAAAAGAGTTTGGCCTAAAGTAAGAATAATGAAAACTGCTTCTCACCTTCCAGGGGCTTGACAATCTGCAGTTTGTCAGGGATCTTGAAGTAGTTGGTGGAGGTGCTACCTGGGAAGGAGAGATAGGACAGACCACTGCCAGGGGATGGCACACTCTCAGGGGTGCGAGGCGTGGCACTGGAACACAACAAACACGTGACGTTTCAGGTGTACAAGGTTTACTATTTTGACATGTGTATGATTTGTCAGAAATGATTTTATTTTCAACATTAGGTGATTGCAGTGGCATGTGTCTCTCTCCCTCTCTCCCCACCCCCTCCTCACCAATGTGTCCCTGATCCATCCTACCCCATGTGTCTCCGCCCCGTCTACCATCTTGTGACCCCCCCCATCCTACCCCATGTGTCCCCGCCCCGTCTACCATCTTGTGACCCCCCCCATGTGTCCCCGCCCCGTCTACCATCTTGTGACCCCCCCCCCATCCTACCCCATGTGTCCCCGCCCCGTCTACCATCTTGTGACCCCCCCCATCCTACCCCATGTGTCCCCGCCCCGTCTACAATCTTGTGACCCCCCCCCCATCCTACCCCATGTGTCCCCGCCCCGTCTACCATCTTGTGACCCCCCCCCATCCTACCCCATGTGTCCCCGCCCCGTCTACCATCTTGTGACCACCCCCATCCTACCCAATGTGTCCCCGCCCCGTCTACCATCATGTATCTCCAGCCTGTCCTCCCTAATTTGTGCCCCCCCACCCCGTCTACTATACCAACATGTATCTCCAGCCTGTCCTCCCTAATTTGTGCCCCCACACCCCGTCTACTATACCAACATGTATCTCCAGCCTGTCCTCCCTCACGTGTCCCCCTCCTGTCCTCCCCCATGTGTCCCTGCCCCATCCTCACCTTGACTGGCTGTGTTTCCTCCTGTCTTCATCGTCCCGGTAGTCTCTCTCATTCAGCTCATTAGCTCGTCTCATGGCCAGACGTTTCAGGGATGTCTCCAGGTCATTAGAGCCTGGGATGCCAGGTCGACCCAGGTCAGGGTTGGACCTGAAAGAAGGTAGGTCGAAGTGACCATGCTGTTCTAACATGACTTATCATTAAGTTTGCTAACAATAGCAAGCCTATGGCTATGGTGATTTGACTTTCAACACAAACCATTCTTTTCGGTTCTTTTCTTGATAAACACAATTTTGAGATACCTCAAATTATGAAAAGGGACACTACATGCACCAATATATTTGCAAAATAAAGTGTGAGCTTGTTATTTAACCCCACATTCAGCAATAGTTCGGCTATATTATGGCAACCTATAACCAATCAAATATGGACCAGACAAACCAGTGATTGATATTCTAAGGAATGTCCCAGGGTACGATGACACACAATCGAACAAGTTCACAAGCCTGACCACCAGATCCATTTAGTCGCCTCAGAAGATAAGTACAGGATAGTAGTGGCCTATTCAAACATTCCTTCTATCACAATGTACTTCAAATATTCAACTAACCCATGCAGGCTGTCCAGATCGGCACTGTAGCCATCAGCGGACTCGGTTTCTGACATGTAGAAGGAGGCTCGCTTGGAGTTGGGCGCTGATGCGGAGTCACTCTCGGCTCCGCTAGGGCTGAGGGAGTTGGAGCCAGGGGACAAGCTGTTGGGGCTCTTCTTGCTGGCTTTCTTGGCTGCCTTGGCCGTCTCGAATATCTTCCAGTTGTGGGCTCTGGTAGGGTGGGTAATGTGTTATTCAGCATGTGTGACTGTCGATTATATCAGCAATGGCAACTACAGATTCTTCTTTGAGAGGCATTTAGAAGTTGGAGTAATAAGTATGGATAAGATATATGGATGAACAACTTCTTGATTACAATTAGGAGTGAAGTTTCTGGGTAGGTTCTAACACTGTTCCACCTGCTTGATAACATGTAACCTACACCAAAACGTTGCTCCTAATTGTGATAAAGAAGTTCTTCATCCACATATCTTATCCTTACTTAACTATCGATTCATTTTATAAATTATACACAATTTGTTTGCTCTAACAGATATTGGTGCATGATGCTGAAATTACTTATCAAAGGTTTTTGAGCCAGATTAATTACATACTTATTCAAACTACCACTGATTCTAGGATGAGATGGAATACAAGCCAGCATCTGCCACTTATCACAGAAAGGTTGGCCGATAATGAGAGGGTTTCGTGACTGGAGGATGCTACATACTTCCTCTCTGATGGGGAGAATCCCTTGGGGTAGTCCAGGTCACTCCTGAGAGACAGCTCCAGCTCGGAGGCCAGGGAGTCGGAGGGGACGTTGAGCAGGGAGCTGGACAGGTACTGGCGGCTCACCCCGGGGCGCTGCTTCCCTCGCAGGGTCTTCAGCTCCTCCTGGGCATCGGCCAGGACCTCCAGCAGCTCATCGTACTTGTCCTGGCGGTAACCGAGCTGCGGGAAACGAGGGACCAGTTGATGGTGGTGGCTTGTTACTATGGTTACATGGCAAACACAAAGCCGTCTTTTCCAGTTTATGATATCATATTATTCTGTAAACAATACTAGCAGAAATGTGGCAGACAGTTTCCTTTCAAACAAAAATTTTGCTTTTCTGTATTCAGCTGCACACTTAAAAGATCCAAGAAAAACAAAGTTGGTTAAAAAAGTCAGAAAAGTATTCCATTTCTGGTTTCTGCCCATATCATTTCAAACCCAGCTTCAACTCTGTTATTATTTTCTGGATTTTTAACAAAGAGCAGGTCACTCTGCAGGTCAAAACAACATGTACAAACTGCACATGACTCATGATGCCTCTCGTGTTGGTGCAGGTTGAGGGTGTGGGGAAATTTTTAAGGCCTTTCTGGCTTGAGTGCAGTTTAAACATCACAAGACTGAATAGCTGCAAAAAGGGCAATTTAATACCGAGGACAACTATGACTTTTCTCCAGAATACAAAGATTGTTAATGGCATGCATTTGAAACAAAACAGTCCCCCAAAAGCAGTGTCATTGTGTCATTTTAGGCCAAGCCAAAAGACCACAATAATATCGGAATGGTCCTTATATGAAGAAACATGTGCATGACATGACTTGTAAGGTGGTTACCTCTTTAGTGAGCTTGCGCTGGGACTCCTGTGAAGCCTGCAGGTGTTTGGACAGCTCCATGTTCTCTATGGTCAACTGCAGACACAAAACACACAGGCTAATACAGGACTTGCTGGTAACTTGGACATGACTGAACACATGATCAATACATCACTAAATTTGTAAAATTCAAAGCTGAATCTGAGATTGTCTCCCTTGCCCATAACTCAAAACGACAATGAAGTTGAAAGGTCACAATGAGCAATAGCTACTCTGTACTGCATCATGCACTGCAACAGAGTCTTGGTTCCTGTCTATACTTGCGCTGCATCATCTTTATGATGTGTACACAGGGATTCTTATTCTAGTGGATCTACTTCCACTGAATTACCACATTTTTCCTGACAATTCTTTTTTCAAAATCGTATATATATTTCCAAATTTCATAAAACTAAATAGATTGGATGCACCACAATTGATAATGTTTTTGTCTTGAATTCATAGATAATCTACACTAATGTCCAAACATTTTCTACACTGATGTGACTACACCTAAAACAGCCAACTGAGATAACTGCAATATTTACACAGGGTGTGCCGTTGTGAATACATGCAACAGTGTTTAACCAACTTACACATCGGACTCTCTTCTGCAGGTCGACAACCTGCGCCAACAGCGCTGTGATCTCCTCCTTCTGCCTGGCTGACTCCTCGGACTTCCGTGCACATTCCTCTGCGAAGGTTTCCACTTGCATGTTGACCTCCGCTGTAAGATCAATGGCCAAACAAGAATAAAACAGTTCTATAAACATGGGGCATTAGATGGTCCAAATTACCTACCTCCTAATGAGATATTCTCCATTATCTGTAAGTAAGACCTTTTCATCCTTGTGGCCTGTACGGCGATGTCATTTCACCAAACTCTTACACCAAGCATTGAGTACTCCTAGCTATTCTGCCATATATTCCCCATGGGCTCGGATCACCCATTCCTTATTCTAACTACATCTTGTGACAAGCAGCGAGTGCTGGTGAATTGTTCTGTCCCATGGACTGTGACCTGTGACACCAATCTCCATCTCAACTTAACTTCCAGAATATCAAACGGGCAGTTCTTAATGACCCCATGTCTGAGTCACTACCTAGATCCGATCACAAGTGAGCAACTTGGGCTTACAGCCACTTGGAACAGTTTTTCAGTTACATCATGGCATGTCAGTTCCATGTTGCAGTAAAGCCCGAAGTGATGCTGATCTTGCAGGTTTAACCTGCAGTGAAATGGTGGGTGTATGGTGCATGGTTCTATATGTTTACCCTGCGGTGAAATCCATGAGCAATGGTGTATAGTGCTATCAAACCAAGGAACATACACAGGGTAAATTTAGGATTGGAACCTATGATCACTGGTAAATTGCTGCAATTACTGACCGAGCTGGGAGAGACAGTCCTCCACAAGCTTCTTCTCCTTCTCCTCATAGTTGGCGGTCTCGGATCTCAGCTGGCTGCTCTGTAGGAACACAACAAGTCAGATAGAACATTAGAGATGCAGTGACAGCTGTCGTCACAGTATTAAAGCTATATACCGACATCTTGTGAGACATCAAGTCAAGACAAACCAGTGCTTGATAGTGTAAGCATGACATCTGGGCTATGACACAGAGACAACTTGGGTCAATACTAGTCCTAAGACATGTATTTCAATCTCCAAACGTGTCAGCTGATGTACTTTTTCCCCAGATATGCAGACAAATTAATACTTGTTAAAGTATGCTACAGTCATGAATGAAATGTAAACTAGCAACAGAATTACAGAAATATCCTTATGGTTTTATGCTGTCAGACACATCTTATGGCTACTTTCCAAGTGCATAATTTAAGATTTTATCATTAGATAAAATGTGAATCCAAAACTTAGGCCTCACCTCAACCTTGAGGTGAACATTTTCTTCCTCTAAGGAAGACACCTTCTTCTGCAGTGAGTCAATGTTAACCAGTTTGAGGTTGAAGCCTTTGCCTTCACTGAAATAAAGTTTATAAATTAAAATCAATCTATCAACTGTGTTAGTGAGGAAGTCCATATAAGTCATAAAACCGCAGCCTGTATGTGATTGAAACTGGACCTGGGAAATGGATAATTAAAGGAACAATGATCCATGTCATCTTGGCACAATGTAATCTTTTCTGAACCAGGATCCCAAAATTATGGGTACTGGAGACCTTGTCTACCCCAGATCCCCTCAAGGAGACAAGCATGGGGTACTGGGGACCTATTCTGTTTTAGATCCCCTCAAGGAGACAAGCATGGGGTACTGGGGACCTATTCTGTTCTAGATCCCCTCAAGGAGACAAGCATGGGGCACTGGTGACCTATTCTGTTCTGGATCCCCACAAGGAGACAAGCATGGGGCACTGGGGACCTATTCTGTTCTGGATCCCCTCAAGGAGACAAGCATGGGGCACTGGTGACCTATTCTGTTCTAGATCCCCTCAAGGAGACAAGCATGGGGCACTGGGGACCTATTCGGTTCTGGATCCCCTCAAGGAGACAAGCATGGGGCACTGGTGACCTATTCTGTTCTGGGTCCCCACAAGGAGACAAGCATGGGTACTGGGGACTATTCTACTCTTGGATCCCCATGATGGGGCAAACAAGGGGTACTGAGGGCATCCCCATCATGGTGGATGTATGGAACATACCTAGGTGTGCTTGCATCTGACTCTGCTTCATTGTCGTAATCTTGACAGTAAAACTTGAGGAGTTCATCTTTCATAGACACATCATGGCGGAGCTGGCTGACCTGGAGGGAGAACAGTAGTTTAATAAAATATCTTATTTCGTATCTATAAGATAACTGATGGATGATCCTACTGGAACCCAACAACAATGTGGTGGATGGTATGAGGACACTTTCAGCCAATGTGACCAACCAATCCGCACTTCTGAAAGACAGGAGATACACAGGACCTATCAGCCAAGGAATTACAATAAATGACTTTGGTTAGAAGTTAGTGAGAGAGTTGGTTTAACACAACTTGAAAAAGTATCTCTGCCCAAAGTGACCCGGGTCATACATGTTCATTGCTTCAGTAAAACCCACACGCAAGGACAAGCAAGGTGCTGACAAAACAAGGATCTGTACAAATCTGTGATTTAAATCTATGATCAGCAGATCCTGGCACAGCTAAAGGACAAAACTTCACAAGGAACTGCAGTGCCTATTTATGACATGGCCATCACTTATTAGAGAGTGAGTGAGTGAGTTGGGTTTAACGCCGCTTTTAACAGTATTCCAGTTAATGTGGGAGGAAAGCCTGAAGTGATGCAGGTCTCAGACATTTGCCACTTTGGTGAAACCCACGAGCATGGGTAGGGTGCTGACAAACCTACAAACATAATCGGGGCAATTTGGGATTTGAACCCAAGATCATAGGTTTCTGGCGTGCCTAAGGGACACAACTTTGCATAGTGAATTGTGGTGCCTTAGCAACTGGGCCCCCAAATGTGAAAAGGAAGTGAAGGCATGAGTTTACAACATCCGACCACCACAACATCTCTAGCCAGCAGGACAGACACAGTATACATTACCTTGTCATTAGTTGAAGAAAGCTGGTCTTCAAGAAAATCACTACGCTCTGTCAAATCTTTATTCTTTTCAAGAAGGGTCTGTCCAATTTTGGCTGCAAGTTCTAAGTCACGCTCTTTCTGTTGAAAACAACAAAATGTATGATAATACCCACATGACTTCTCCACACTAGCAAGTACATGTCGTGCATATAAATCAATCAGGTTTACCTCAATCAATCTTTTGACAGATGTTCCCTTGAGTGAGTGAGTGAGTGAGTGAGTGAGTGAGTGAGTGAGTGAGTGAGTGAGTGAGTGAGTGAGTGAGTGAGTGAGTGAGTGAGTGAGTGAGTGAGTGAGTGAGTGAGTGAGTGAGTATGGTTTACGCAACTTTTAGCAATATTCCAGCAATATCATGGCGGGGGACACCAGAAATGTGCTTCACACATTGTACCCATGTCAGGAATCAAACCTGCGTCTTCGGCATGAGGAGCGACCACCCAATGTTCCCTTGAGCATACTGAGATTAACCACACAATATTGGGCCACAACGATTACTATACTTAGACATAAATATTATCATTTCTGTATCTTAACAACTCATATCAATTTGTTATTCTTAATTGGACATATTTCCCAGCGGAACAAGATTTATCATGGGGCCCACCCATATAAAATTAAACTTTGCAAAGTATAGTTCTCATCGAAAATCAATGGACAGTTGCCTGTTAGTTTAAAAGATGGGACTCCAGGATCCAGACTTCAGTCTAGATATTCAACATGTTCATTACTTAGTGGGCAGAAGACCTTTAAAGTAAACACAGTCAATGGTTCCAAGGTCAAACACATGCAACAGCTTTGAAGCAGCTCTACATTCAGGACATGTTAACTTTTGGGAACAGCATGTGGATTGTTCTTGTAGCATAAAATATGGCATTTAGTACTAAACAGGCGAGTCATGACAGGTTGTGTTTTTTCCTTTTCAACATCAAGCCAGCAGTGAAGAAATACATGACTGATTTAGTGGAGACTAAAGGTCATTGGAATTAAAGGGGTACAATGCTTGGGAAAATTGGCACTCATTGCCATTCAAAACCAATAAAGTTAAGAATTGTGATGTCATCAATCTATCACTAAATCATTACTCTGAATATATAGTGATGTGTTAGTTTCACACATGGTTTCAAGGTCTACACCTAGAAGGGACGTGGCCCCAGACTGTGGAGCAAAGTCCCCCTTTAAAGTATGATAAATCTTAATCCATAATCAATATCTCTAGAGAGCAAAAAAGCTCTTATAGAACGTTTTTCCTGTTTGTGATATTATCAGTGAACAGAAAGAAAGGTCTCTTGCTATCTGAAGAATGAAAACACCTTAATCTGTAAATCTTTTTTAATTTTTTTATTTTGTCGCAAAACAAGATAACACAGTAATAAATTACTATTCAAGGCTGGAATATAATCATTTTTTTAGATTTATTGTGTCTGGAACACTTACTTTTGAACACAAAAGTTGTAGATAAGGCCAGAGCAAAATGAATATTTGGTTGTCAGGGGGTGAGGGACTTTATGATGCTTTGAACAGTACTTCATTCAAAGTGTCGGCTTAATGTGGGATAAAAACCTGGAGTAAACCAGGTTGTGGACCTTTTGTCAGCAATGTCCTTATATAAACACAGATGTAGCTATTTCATATAACTAACAAAATATAGATTGCAAAAGCTGTTTGGGCCAAAATAGATTTCAGCTTTGTTAAAAAGCACCTGTAAAGCACCTGTAAAGCACCTGTAGAACACCAATTCATGCTTTAAGGTTGGGGGTATAATAAATCTACACAACAAAATCTCCCAAACAACTAACCAAAATTATCCTAACTTTGGAAAAAAATCTATCAGTAAAACATCTAATTAATATCCAGTGTTAAGGGCTTGACACAATTCCTTATCATGTGTGAAATGAGTGGGTTTCCACAAATGGTACCTATTTTAAGATTGGGCCAAAGCTCAAATACAAAAAATAGTACTGATAACAGAATATAGGGCGTGTTTCGTGTAATGTTGTAACAACTATTGATATGAATTACTGCATGATTGTATATTCCATCCCCTGAGGATTGACTAACACAATTATCTGTCCTACATTTCAGAGATAAGAGGCAGATGGCGTCTACTGCACACATGTGCAACTCCTGCCGGCATGTCATGTATGTGGGGGCACATCACAGTCTGTGCCTATTGGGTGCCCATTGCTGGTACCTATTGTTGGAACCTGTGGATGCCCATGGTTGGTACCTGTTGCCATTCCTATTGTTAGGCATTGTTTAGGGTTCCTATCAGGGCGCCTATCATGAATGCCTATCTGAGGTGCCAATTAGGGTTCCTATCAGGGCGCCTATTATGACTGCCTATCTGTTGCCAATTAGGGTTACTATCAGGGTGCCTATTATGACTGCCTATTTGAGGTGCCAATTAGGGTTCCTATCAGGGTGCCTATTATGACTGCCTATCTGAGGTGCGAATTAGGGTTTCTATCAGGGTTGCCTATTATGACTGCCTATTTGAGGTGCCAATTAGGGTTCCTATCAGGGTGCCTATTATGACTGCCTATTTGAGGTGCCAATTAGCGTTCCAATCGGGATGCCTATTATGACTGCCTATCTGAGGTGCCAATTAGGGTCAATAGCATGAGCATAGAAGATATCCCTAACACTCCCCATCTTCATGACGATCCCATTCACACTTGAGTCAAGTCTTATAACAAGCATGAGACAGTGTTGGTCATTTTGCTCCAGAATCACACCATGGTAAAAAGCTATAAATATAAACCATATGAAGTACATAGGTCATCCAGTGTGGCCATTCCAACTTTGGCTATCAGTGTGTCCTTCAATTGTGGGTTAATCTCCAAGCTTGAACTCGGCATCTGAGTGGGTCATGCGGTAACTCTGTGATAACTTCAGTGGAGGCCTAGTTATTCAACCTGTTAAGTTGCTCAACTCACTTCAGGATAAAATGTTGTCAGGTTCTTATAAATATAATAACCATTTTAAAATAAGTCTGTCTTCTTGCCACATTATATTTCAGATGAGGTTACTTGTGAATTACATTTGGATCATAGCTGAAGTTGGAAAAGTGTGAATTGCCATTACTTGTTGGTGAGTGAGTGAGTGAGTGAAAGAATGAAAGAATGAAAGAGTGAAAGGGTGAGTGAGTGGTTTCTGTCTCAGTCATCAATATTCCAAGTATATCACAACAATATTGATATAATTGACTAAATACAACAAAAACTAGTGACTGAAAGCATGAGCATGTAATTTGAAGAGATTTGAAATGGGACAAAAGTATATATGGTGTCAACCTGGGCAAGTGAAGGAACATGCATTTTATCTTCATGTATGAATCAGATCATAATTCATAGATATTTTGATTTTTATTGCCATTAATCACTTAAGGTTGAAACTAGCTACATCTGTAAATGCCACATTGTAAGTGTGGTCAAGTCCATTGTAAATGCATCCGTGTTAGAATTAGTCTTCAGCAAACCATGGTGGTTGCAAGAGCTATACTAAGTGATTGGCTGGTGAGGCTTGATGACTTGGTTGCGGCATATCATCGGATCCCAGTTGTATGGATCAAAGCCCATGGCCCAGACTCGATTATTTACATAACGCCATAAAATAGCTGGAGTATTGCTGAGTGCAGCATTAAACATCAAACAAAGAAAAATTTGAACACAAAAATAACTGTATATGCTGATTTTAAAAAGATTTGGATTAACTAAAAAAATAGTTTTAAAAAGGCAGAAAATGTTACCTCTTCAAGCATACGAGTAAGAGCCCCAATGTCATTGTATGTGCGGGTCATCTGGGTTACCCGGTCCGCACATAGGACTGAAAAAAACAACACAGGGCGTTAATATACATCAATCACATATCATGTCGCTACAACGTTCATCTAATGACATGAGGCGGCCCTGAAACGACTGAATCCAACATATTAACTCTCTCCTCCTGATCCTCCAAGTACGATCAACGTGATCAGCCAACATCATCAACTTATTATTATTCGTCAAATGGACTGCACACCTTCAATATGTTTTCAATTTAGAGAAGTCACAAAAAGCCTACCTCATGCATCAACACATAATGCGATGTTTGAGTCATGATACGATCCATATATCAATACTTCATTTTCGCTGTTTCAGCAAGCAAATCTCTAATTCCACATAGCCCAGCTGACAATGGGTTGTTATGGTCAAAAGGTTTGTTTAAATTGCATGATGCATTAATTTAGGTTCAATCTATTCATAATTTCATAGTATTATGCAATCTGATTTAGCATATGTTTCTATGTTTCTGAAAGGCATTAAGGTATTGCAAGCCCAAGTAGTTATCAGGTTGGGCCATTTGAATTTTGTCAAATTAATTTTTGAAAATCAAAATAAAATTAAAGAAAAAAATAGAATCAAAACATGAATTCAAACACATGAAGTTATATTATGTATCATATCTACAGAAGTAAATTTGTGACACTTTCATAGTTTTGATACATTGGAGAATTGTGACACCCCTAGTATGAAGTTCTATTAAGAGCTGAAGAATTCAGACAAAGGTACCATGCCATACATTTATTCTGCTCTTCATACAACACTGCACAAAGAACCATATCAATAAGTTAACATGGACACAGTACAACACATAAACACACTACAACACATACAACAGCTAAAGCTTAGGATCTGCTTAGTTAATAATATATACACTTTGCACAAACACAATGAACCAGCATATATTGTTTCTGTTGGCAGATGGCCATACATGACAAGGACCAGTACTCCTATATGTTGTAAATGGGGGAAAAAAATGTTTGATAAAGTTGACAACAACCCTTAAACTGCTTCAGAACAGGTATAGGCAACATATTTTCAGAAATGCTACTGAGTGTAATTTCAGCTCTACTAGAAGCACTCATAAAATCAACAACATTGTAAGTAAACAAGTTTACAAAACATGGGGACAAAAATAACTGTGGCGATGCAGTAAGACGGACATTTCAGTATGAGATGTAGATTTCACATCTCTCAATGAAATAAACACCACAGACAGACATGCTGTCTGATCTAGAGTGAACATCTGTTGCAAAACACTGACAGGATCGAATTCAAGTCACATTTGTCAAAGTCATTTCCATAAAATGGATAATTTTAATCGGGTTTTAGTTTAACAATCCAGCAACATCACAGTGAGAGACACCAGAAATGGGCTACATACATGGTATTCGTAATGATAAATACTGACACCTTCGTCATGACAAGGGAATACTTAAACCACTTGGCTACCCAGCATGCTGATTTTTAAATGAGCTAGTTACATGACAAAGTTTGCCACAACAAAAAGCAAGGGAACTCATGAAATGATAGTGAAGGTGTAATGATGATAAATGTCTGTAAAATTATTTTCGGGAGTGTAGGTCAATATCTGGTGTGTCCTCCTTGTTGAATGATACAACAGCTTGATGGCATACTGTTGATTAACTTGCATATGGTTGCCTTTGGTATTGCTCACTATTCCACCTAAAGAACTACCCCAAACTTGCCCCTGGTGCTGGTCTCCACTGTACACATCTGCCTGAGAGTGGGGATAAACATTAGGGATATGTCAGGGGACTCAGTGGGCAGTTCAATGTCAGAATGCCTTCTCTTCGGAGATAATCAGTGACGATCTGGGCATGATGTGGAGTGCCTTTGTCATACTGTAGTTCAAAATTTCTGCTGATAATTTGAGCGAATGGAATGACAGGAAGAAAAATTTCGTCAACATATCACTGGCCAATCAAATGTACATTCAAAACATGACACCATTATTGCCCAGGCATACCACTCGCCATTACATCACTTAAACATTTTCTACCATCTGTGAATCAGAGGCAAAACCTTAATTGTCTGTAAACGTGGTGTAACGCCATTGGCGCACAGCCCGTCCCTGGTGTTACCTTATAAGCCCACCCTAATTTTTTACGCCTATGGTAATCTGTTAGGGCCACAACCTTCACAAGAAGCCTTGCTTTCAGGCTGGCTGCATAGAGACGTTTTTTAAAGGTAGATGTTGAAATTTGCCTTCCTGTTATAGTATGGATTTCTCTATTGATAACAGAAGCGATTGAATCTATTGCCCAGTGCCATTTATTTGAAAGTGGCAATCTTGTCTAGGTGTCGTTTTTTTAGGCTGCCATTCCCAGGTGTCGTTGCAACCCCACAGTCGAGAAATTACACTTTCTGATTTGCCAAACATTCGAGGACCTTGGGATACTGACGTTCCCCCCCTCTATCATTGAGATACTGTCTCGGAGGCATTTTAAGCATGTGATTGCAAGTTCCCCTATAGGTGCACACCAGGGGTCCGGAAACCGTCATATGCGCCGGACATGTCCGATTGGGAATCTCAAATGTCCGTTTTAAAATATTGCTTACCGGACATTTTAAAAAGTATTGTCCGGACATTCTTAAATTTTGACCGGACATGATCAACAGTTAGGACTGAGCAGTTTCTGTCTGCAGTTGGAACACAATGAAGATTAACTACACTGACAAGCTTTGTTTGTTTTGATTGCTGTAAATACATCGTACCTACATGATAGTCCAATCGGTCAATCACTGTAATAGGCAATAAACTGAGTTGACACAGATTAATCGAGGATTAATTACTGAGAACATCTTGTTAATTTGAGTGAAAGGTGTTTACAACTGTACATTAATACCTTGCATCATCGATGTACCTCATTATCCTCACAATGCTACGATACGAAACCTCAGACAAGAAGTGAAAGCGTGACGACAGCCAGTCGACCGGATCTGCCAAACCCTCAAAGTCTGGACGATCATTTTGTAAGTCATGGCTAACGACTTTCACTTGGTTGACATACAATGAGGATTTGCAGATTTTATTGTTTTCAGTAGCTAGTCGTATATTGAATCTTGATTGACCGCCATTTTGCTTTCTCGGACGATCGATATCCAATTTTTTTATGGTCAATAATTAAGTACAGATGAAAAAAGTATTCAAATAACTATTGCTATCAACGATATTTTAGTATTTGTGATTAAATTATCTGTCTTGTTTTTAAAAAAATCTTTAGTTTAAAAAAAAACTTTTCCCATGAGGTCACGTGATAACCAAATATGGGATAATAGTCTCGATCCAAATGTTACAACGCGTACACTTGAGCAGACTGATGAATATAACTCATGAATATTAATTAGACCGTTCACTACGTTAACAGATCGTTATTATAACAGAAACAAACGGATGTGTTCCATGTAAATCTAAAATAATATTATTTGTTATTAATTGTCCGGTGAATTAAACAATTTAAATTGAAACAATTCATAATTCATCATATTATGAATACGTAAACTTGTAATGTGTGTGAAAAGTTGTACTAAAATACGCTATTTGAAGGGGGCGTGGCCTAAATGCAAATGTCCGATTGGGATTTTAAATTTTCCGGACCCCTGGTGCACACACTTTGGCTTCTCTGTGCATGTGCATCACATGCTGTTCTTGCATGAAGTGACATTTCATTGTGATTTGATGTTGTTAAGATGTAATGCCACGATATTGTAAATGAGTTCCCTTATTTTTTGTCAGCAGTATATCTACTTTATTCTCCTACCCTGGTGGGTAACACACATATGCAGGACCCACCCAGTGAGTCAGCTTTTTACTTATCTAATCGTGCTGAAGTTTGATGCCATATCAACCCACGTGATACCATGATTCCGCAGTGATGAAGCACATTGTTATCACTTATCAAGTATCAACTCATACTTATGTCAGTTTAAACAATGATAACCGATGACATTTCAGTTAAAACATTATCTGACGTTAATAACTTGGTCAGACAGTCTGGTTCCATTTGGAAGTTCAAGGATTTGTTCTAAATGAAGTGGTAGAGACACATTTGAGCAATTTTTACAATAGTTCAAATCACTGAACATTTTAATTACAAAGTGTGTCCACATTGGGTAATATCATCATTAAATAAAGAAGAATGCACCCTGATAACCTGCATGTTCTATCTTCACCATGGCAACTATCACTAATTATTTTCAAAATAATAATAACATTCATCTAAATGCATGTTAGTCTTTTTGTTCATCTAAATGAATTAAAATTCACCTACAGCATAACACTCTTGTCCAAATGGATTATTTTTCTTAAGGAAAATTAATTTGTTTCATGTACAAAGGTATTTTTGTTGGGCATATCCCACAATCTCTTGAACATATGAAATGGCATTCAACATTATTTATGCCAGATATGAATCTAAATGTGACAGTAAATCCATCAAGAATGGTCCTTTGACAAATACTACAGTATATTTTTTAAAGAGACTTTTGACATGTTTATATTACATTCCTGCATATGTATTCTCATTTATCATGTCACATTATCTTTGACTTGAGCACGAGTAAACTTTCAAGATCGATCATTGGTTTGTAAAAGCAATGAATGATAGATTAATGATCAACCATCAATGAGAATAGGCAAGTCTCACAACTAAAGTATTCTCTCTCTCTACCCTTCATGTAAACAACCAAAATACACACATCCAAACTCCAGAAAGATACTTTATCTTAAGCAGTGGCACAAACAGATCAAATGCAAAGGTCTTGAAACCTTGCTTTATTTTAAAACATATTATAACAAATTTGTTTGTCCCCAACTAATTAATTTAGATTACTAAAATAATAAAAAATATAATTGATCACAAATTTTATGCTGATTTTTAGAAACTGATGAAATTATGTACCATATTTTCTTGAGTATAGTGTACATCCCCTGTGCGGCAACGCCAATAGGCTCAAGGGCTTGAAACCATACTCCATCTTGAAAAGATGCCTACCGTTAAGTTTCTTCTGGAAGTCTTTTAATCTCTTGTAATTCTTTAAAATAGCATTACATACTCCCAGACAAGCTATCATCAGTGCTGCAAAATACTTTCTTGAAATTTATTTGAGTCCCACATTTTGTACAAATAGTTACTGTGACTGGCATGAGATTCAGCAAATAAGATGCACAACAATATTTATTTACATCCCCTTCTTCAAAAAAATGTTTGCTCAAAACAAACTACTGAAACTAAGAACAATAAGTATCTCATGATGTATGTATTATTAATCTGTATCAATTAAGGTATGATTCAAGGAGTTGCCGCCATGAAATATTTTGCTGCACTGAAATAACAGAAAGGTGCTTGAATTCTGTGAACTGACAAACATTCAAGTCAGGCGTCTAAACATATAATACCTGATTATTATTACTTTTGTTCCTCAATCCAAGACATTTAAGCCATCCACATAATTATAACAATCGTGACCATGTGCTTTTACATATCAAATTAAACGAACTACATACCTAGTGCAGTTTTTGATTGGTTCTTTATTGACACTAAGTTGGAAGACCATGAAATGATTATGGATAACAAATTCAAACCTAGTTTATTAAGCATGTTCATGAAAACTAACATAACCATAAGAAATTTTCAATACATTTCCAAAAGGAAACACAGCTCAATTTTGATTGAAATTTGAAAATGGATTTGATAATTTCTTCTAGCTCATTATCACTGAAAAACAGTGAGACAAGACTGGTGTTCTTAAAATCTAAGTAAGGGTGTGCAGTAACTTACTGCTTCCAAGAAACAGTGCAGAGGACAAGTTTTCAGAATGGAAGTTCTTGAGACTGTTATGTTCTATTGGTGTCCCAGGAGATGTTTTGGCCATGCGACGATTCAGATTGTCATCAGAAAGATTGGACATCTGTCTGTTCCGAAACAGTTTTTCATCGAAGGAAGCTCTGCGTTTTCTCCGAACTCTTCGTTTCACAACTCCATCCTGTTCGGTCTCTGTTTCAGATGATGATGACGGACTCCTGCAGCGAGGTGTCACGTCATCAGACAATGATGCGTCGTCACTCTGTTCCATGTCGGTGTCCGAGGTTTCCTCGTATATTACATTCCAGTTAACCAGTGGATCATAGCGGATGTCAGACCTCCAGGGGTGACTGTTGCTGCTGCTGTTGTTGTTAACATTATCAATGGTCTCCATTTCAACAAACTATCAAGCTCCGCCAAGTTGAAATATTTGGCTTTAGAAACAGGCCCACAAGTCCAAATTGAGACAAACTTGTCTCGAAAAGTTCACAACTTCTAAGTCTACATGATTGCAATTTTCCTTCACTGAACTAAAAGTAGATGATGAAAAGTTCAAATAGAAATTTGCTGAACCTAAAAAGATTTGTCAATGCTTAACTGGACACTACCAAGCTTAATCCCTGTCAGATATTTCTGTGTGTGCCTGTTAATAGACTGGACCTTATCTGAAGCCTGAGAGCCTTCGTGATCTATTTACTCGACTGTGGAGGCTGTCACGTGGGGTATAGCTCCACCTACCGACAATCAAGGCCACCGATACCTGATGGTGTTTACAATTTTTGTGTGTGATTATCTCCAACCAACACAGGGCCACAATGATATCTTCCATGTGAACTGAGCTTTGACAGTGATTGGTGATGTGCGACAAAAACAGGTTTCAACAGTTTATAAATACAAGCCACCTTTCCTGATTTAACTTTCCAAGCCCTAATAAGTTCATAAAAAAAGATTTGCTACCTTGTCTTAATCCTCAGGAGGTAGGTATTGAAACAGTCTAGTACCACAAATACACTTTTTGTCTGAAATACACCCCAGCATGCATATACACAAACAAGCTACATCATATCCGGCACATATTGTTTCTAAACAATGTGACCAAGCTTGCTAGGACTGCTAACAGTGGACAAAGTCTAGTTCCTCTCTGAATATCAACTCTTCAAAAGAGAATTGTTAAGTACTGCAGTACTTGTGACAACAATAACAAAGGAGAAAATAGAGTCTTTCTCCAGAAGACACCAACTGTGACTATCTTGTCGACATCATCGCGGATGTGTCTACATGGGCCAACGTGACTTTGAGCATGCCCACTGCCCGACAGTCACGGCTGTTTAATGGTGAACTGATATATCCACCGTACTGTCACGCCATTGTGTAACTAAAACACACTATCCTTTTAACAACTGCCTTCCTCGTGAGGTGAATGTTTAATCAACAGGTGTTCAAGGGGGCCTACGTGCAGCGTATATGATAGGCTTACAGATCTTGGACAGGATTTGAGAAAATAATGTTCTCCATGTTTACAACTTGTGTTTACACCCTAGATGGGGGAGCCTCAGACATTAATGACTTCATAATCATAAACCACATTTGCCACACACAAAATGCTGATTATTTGGTAGACTAAGATAGATAAGATATTTGTTGTTGTTTATGTTATTATTTTCTTTAGTGTGACAGATGAGTGGGACATCTTAATCAGAAATTTAATGGTATTTACATTATATCATGGCCTGTCAGTGTAATGAAGGAAAAAAACCAAAAAGACATTTGTAGAAGACATTTGCTACCTACATTGCATAATATGGCTATTAAGAACCATTTTTACGTCAGTATTGGCCCAAGTATGCTAGTATTGGCCCAGGCATACATTGTGCCCGGGTTCTACACAGGGATGTGACCCCACTTGGCTACCCATGTTCTCCATACTACATTGATATTATTTATTATGATTTAATGTTTGTTAATAATTCACTGTTTGTATTTTTCAAGATGGCACAATTGACCAGTAAGAGATTAATAATCCCATGGAGTAAACTATAGAACATATAGAAATATATACCAGGTTAGAAATTCAATCTCATTAAAATCAGATCTTAGTTCTCACTATCGCTAAACAAAGATCTGAACACATCCCATTATGGGTCACGTCAGAACGACCTTTCATCCGACCAATCAAAGCGTCACTTACCAGATCATGAAAGTGACAGTCGGAAAGTGTTTTCTAATCATGCAACCGCCGTGATATTGCTGGAATATTGCTAAAAGCGGCGTAAAACCATACACACTCACTCTAATCATGCAACCCTGAAAACGTTAACACAGGGTATTCTGAACGACAGTTACGGCCCGTACGACTGATTATTGTCTATCTCTCGCTTCAGTGGGATAAACATTTGAACGGAGGAGGCGTTGCACCGTACGTGGGAAGTGCTGCCATACAATCTCAACCATTTATTAGACATTCCGGAATGCTCGTTTGTTCAGTTTCCAAAATTTTAATCAAGAACAGTGTGAACTTATTTTTCAGGCGTAGCCTGAAACAGAAGTAGCCATGTTGAAACGAGTGTTGTATTTTTAAGCTCGAGAAAGCTGCTTTCTAATTGGCTGATGTCGACTTCTTGTTAGTCATTTCAGCGGTCGGTCAAAGTTCACGAAAGGTCGTTTTGACCTCAGATCTTTGTTTAGTGGCAGCAAGAACTTAGGTCTGATTTTAATGAGATTGGTTAGAAATTCTTTTTCACTACTTTGCAAAACGACCTTCTACAAAGTTTGCTATTTACCTAAGGAAATGTCATGTGGCCATCCTGAATTTTACTAGAGTCTCGGATGAGCAGACATAATTTCAACGCCTATCATTAATGCTACTGGCTTGGATTAATTTAGATATCAGATTGTTGTATGATGAAGTTTTCATGGGGCCTGTTTGAAATGCTTCAAATGATTTCATGACTAAAACCTTCAAACAAAATGTTTCTGAAAAGAACTGCATTTTTCAAATTACAAGTCAAATATATATTCTCTCTCATAGAAAGATATAACACAAGATATTCAAAATTTCAAATGCAAATAATTCACTTTTCAGATTACCTTGATAAATTGAATACCATCATTTTGAAAGTACACATTTCCCAGAATGATCAATAGCTTGTGTATGAGAATATTATCCAGTCTCTAGTTTACAATTAAAACCAACCATTTAACATTTTTTTTTAAAGAAACTATGAAAGAAACTTTTATTTCTACATAACAACATCTAATATATGCTTTTGTTTGTTTGTTGTTTAACGCCACACTCAGCAATATTCCAGCTATATGACGGCGGTCTGTAAGTAATTGAGTCTGGACCAGACAATCCAGTGATTGACAACACGCAATTGGGATATGATGACATGCACGAACCAAGTCAGCGAGCCTGACCACTCGAACCCGTTAGTCGCCTCTTACGACAAGCATAGTCGCCTTTTATGGCAAGCATGGGTTGCTGAAGACCTTTTCTACCCCGGATATTCACGGGCCTCTAATATATGCAATAATTGTAATTCAGGAAAGGTGAATGCCATAGAAAAGTGACTAATCCATGCAATATGAACAGAAATTTATTGCAGAATTTACCATAGTAAGGAAAGTTAGCAACAGTTAAAAACAGAAGAAATGTGACTTTTCCAGACATGACTTGATACTGACTGAAAGAAAGGTCAGTATAAATTAGCATATTTAGGTCAAACTGACCACAGCATCAATGTAACCCACCCATGTCAAGTTTCGACAGATTGTGCAAGATAAACACTGACAAAGGCTTATGTGTATTGTCACACTGTTTACCACCAATAGCCCTGTAAACAGTACATATCAATGATATTACAGATAAGTGATGACCTAGTCAACAGTTTGAATAGACGTGTGAACTGTGCAATTAATGACAATCAACACATGGGTACAAATTTCTACACACATATATTTCATGCATACACATTCTTACAAACTAAATGTCAACACTTCGATAACTCCAATAAATATTTGATAAAATATCAAACTTTCAAACAATGTATGTCTGATAATTAAGTCAAATATTGTCACAAAATGAAAGTTACCTTGACTGTTTTGATTTTGTTGGTTTGTTTTTTTATGACGCACTCAGCAATATTCCAGCTATATGATCGTGGTCTGTAAAAAATCGAGTCTGGACCAGACAATCCAGTGATTGATATCATGAGCATCGATCCATGCAATTGGGATAGATGACATGCATCAACCAAGTCAGTGAGCCTGGCCACCCAATCCCATTAGTCGCCTCTTACGACATGCACAGTCGCCTTTTATGGCAAGCATGGGTTGCTGAAGACCTATTCTAACCCAGATCATATTGTTTTGACAGTCAAGTATGCTTACCACTTGGCGTTGATAATATCATGAAATACACAAGCCTAAGCATCAGCTGATATGGTTGATGCTGATGTTTGTCACACACATCTGATACAAGGATTGTCTACACCTACGGCCTACCTGATTAATGTCATGTACACACTCCACCATATATGTTAAGCATTTAGTTTTACAGTATTTTATTTTCATTCACTAGGCAATAAGATTTAAAACATTTATGTCAATAAATGTCAATTTAGTCATATTTGATATTGATAAATTAAAATCATTACAAAATTACTTTCCAAATACATATTAATTCATTTTTTCACTATATTTTTAATTATGTTATTTTTATAAAATACCATTCTTTCAACATACATACTTACAAATTACAAGATATTCAAGTAATAGTATACCTGTACTTTTTCATTATCATTTAATATAAAATATATTCTTCATATATTCTTTCTTCCATATTGTCTTGTATTTTATTCAGTGATTTTCAGTGGGAATACAATAGTACATGCAAAGATTTCCGAATTGAAGCCACATGCACATTTATGTCTCAGAATGGTGTCATGCAGGGAGCCACAACCATTCCCCTAGTCTTCCTTCATTACAGTGTAAATGCATTCAGGCTTCCTCACATTTACATTAATGTAGGATAATGTAAACCAACAACCATGGATTTACAGTAACACTTCTTTGAAATAAATACATCCAGCTGCTACATCCTGCAGTGAGATAGAGGTGTAAAAATAATAGGCAGAGCACTGAAAAGTAACGTTTTTTCATTGGTTTTGGAAAGCAAGATAGCAGACCCTATGATGCAGCTACCAGTTTTTGATTTTTATCTGGAATCGTATTCTTTCTTCCAAGTTCACTTTCGATGAAGCAGAAAGTACACATTTTTATTTAAGTGCTTAAGAAAGAGATAGACAAAGGTTTTGGAACTATTTAATGACTTGGGGCCAACTTTAGATGTAGAAATATGTTGTAAATCCAACAACATACAATAGTCCCGCCTAAACCCCAAGTGGTGATAGTGAGTGAGTTGGGTCTGTCTCCGCTGATCAGTATGTCAGTTATATCACAGCGGGTCAGGTTGATGTGGCCTCAGGAAACCTTGAAGTGATGCAGGTCTTTGACGTTTACCACTTTGGTGAAACCCTAGAAATCATAATTGGGGCAAAACCAGGGTTGGAACCCATGGTTTCTGGCATGCCTCAGGGACACAACTCTGCACAGCAACTTGCAGTGAGTGAGTGAGTTGGGTTAAACACCGCTTTTATTAGTATTCCAGTTATATCATGGTCTGTCAGCTTAATGTGGGAGGAAAGCTCGATGTGATGCTGGTCTTAGATGTTTACCACTTCGGTGAAACCCACAAGCACGGGTATGGTGCTGACAAACCTAGA